GAAATCCTGTCAACACATTAAGCTACGTGTTCAGCAGCATTTGTTTTTGTAGGTTCAGGTGTTTTCTACAGCCAATAGATCCCCACACCCCCCTTAGGTGTGTTATGTCAAGATTGTGTTGGCCTTTACTAATTGCAGTGGTCTCTGTCCAGGTTCCCAAGGCGAAAACATCCTTTGTTAACATAAACCATCCAGGACAAAAGTGTTTGTTTTTCCAAGCAGCTGTTTTGGAAGCATCGATCCTGGATTGGTGTACACCACTGGTGGTGGCCGTTTCTTTTACTCCTGTTTTTTGTTTGTTTTGCTTTAGGAACTTCATGCTCTGAATCTGTGCAAACATTTCTTTATGGAAATGATAATTACAGACTTTCTGCTTGATGGAAGTTATACATTATCTTTAAATTGTAAGATTAGAGTCAATAGCTGGATCACTTTCACAGTGAAAAAGGAAGAATCGGTGATTTTAGATTCAAACACAGAAAACTAACTATGCACAGGTTTGATTTTGATTTATTGAGATGCCCTTTAGCCCCATGAGGGGCTAATCTTCCAGGGCTCATAAACAGTACAACACATAAAATACAAGCACTGAATACATACAATCATTGCAATTACACATTAAAATAATTGAGGTTGAGGCCAGAGGTCATTTAACTAATTATGACTAAAATCAACAATAAAACTTGAGTTACTAAATTGCTTCGAATATATACAATATTGTCAGGGTAAGCCTTTAAGTTCCATAAAGCTGACGTGTCATTTTCCTGAACTGCCTCTCATCAGCTGCTAATACAGTAGTCTTAACTTCACTCGGTAATGCGTTCCACAACTTTACAGATCTGTAAGCAAACATCCTCTTTCCACTATTGTTGTTAGGTTTGAGCAATGAGTAGTCGTGCACTGATTGCACAGGTGTTTTTGGTTATGACTACTTACATATTATACACTCCTTGCTTCCCATTCTATGTCAGAATGTGTCACCTGTAAGTAAGTAGTCATAACCGTCTTGGATGATAACTGGTATTCAGTACAGCAATTGTTTTGTATATCAGTATATCTGTATCTGTAAAGCCGGTATAACCGCCTTTCGGCGTAACACACCAGCTTCGCAGGCACGCGGCATGGCGGCAGCTGGCTATGTTACACCGATCGACTTGTTACACCTAACCCTTGAACTTCTAGCTCTAGAATTTGTTTAAAGCTATCTATTGACAATGCCCCAATTGTTGACATTCAAGAGTTCTCTTCACTTGTGTGCCTCTTACATGTATATCAGTTTTGTGTCGCGGTGTACAAGATTATGTCAAGGTGACTTATTGAATTATCATTTTGCTGTGTTACCTATGTTTACCTATGTGTTACCTATGTACACATTTACCCATATCACATTGTGTGAGGAATGTACAGTCTTTAACCTGCCACTTGTTTTTGTTCCCCATGTACAGTTACTGATGAAGAGACCAAACCAGACATCATAGAATCTGCCAAAACAGGTGAGATCAACATCTAATTTCTCCCTACCATTACACATTAGTGTTTTTCATAGGTCAAACATACAGCTTTACAACATGTCAAACCAAAGCATTCTTATGATTGGACTAGTAGTGAATTCTGTTATCAAGTTATATTAATGATTATACAATTCCATCAGTCATGCTAAGTAACACATCATTTTGGCCAAGTACTCCTCTACAGTATAAACATACAACTGTACTTAATATAGAAATCCTTGATGTTTCACTGTACAGAAGTACTAGAACTATATAAGTTGCATGTACATGGGAAGTGTTTGTATAACTACTACTAAAAGAAAATGGATAAAAAGAATTTCTCACAACTGCAGCATGGATGGACTAGTCCATTCACCTCACACAATAGGTACATGCATGTGATGCCATCATACAACTGTAATCCCACCTTAATCTTTTCTTTCCACTTCTGGGATATTGTAATGTTTGTTGCTGTGGATAGGGACAAGCTATGTGGTATGTTGGCATTTCTTAGAAGTAGAACTGGGCCAGAGAGATGAATACATTGGCATGCCCGTAGCCAGGATTTTGAATGGGGGGGTTCTTCCGACTGCTTGAGGAGACCTCGAGCGCCAGGCGCGACGTTCCTAGGGGGGTCCGGGGGCATGCTCCCCCGGAAAATTTTGAAAAATGAACCTTCTAAAATGGCCTTTCGTGCGTTTTTGAGAGGATTTCAAAGACAAAATCGGAGATAAGTTTTTATTCAATGACAAAGGGAGCAGTTTTTCTACGATTCCAGTCTATCTTTTCAAGAAAACTCTTGGACCTTTACATAAAAAGTGGACCAAAAAGTTGACCTTTACATAAAAAGGGGACCAAAAAGTGGACCTTTACATAAAAAGTGGACCAAAAAGTGGACCTTTGAGCCTTGTGGGGGGGTTCTTCCGAACCCCCCCTGGCTACGGGCATGATTGGTTCCAGTCATCAGCTTGAAAATTGATAAAATCTAGCCGTGTGTAGCTATTTTTATACCCTTGTAATGTCTCGCCTTCTAAATCATGCTTCTAGTCTATTAAACATTTCAAACTTTAGATATGAAGTTTTAAGCAAAATGACACCAACATGCCCAGATACATGTACATTATGTAGTGTCTCTATTGGTCAAAGTCTGAAAGTATATCTTACGATTAATGGACTTAAATAATAATTACTATTAGTATTACTATAGTCACAGGTCTCTTCCATCTGCTATTACCAAATTTGCAGGGAGAGATACTGTGTCAAGTTCTGTAGGAATAAGTATGCAGAATGAATGTACCTGTGTGTTTTACTTAGTATAGTGTAAATTTACATATGAATGTTCCCAGAACCTTTCTACCACCAAGTTGTACATTATGTCTTATGAACCCCCTACGCGGTCATCAATGGAGCCAATGGAGACAATTAGTGCCCAACATTGTCCCGGAACATCCCACACCATTGTGCGTAGATTCTGCGCCCCGGGGGCGGCCAGGACGGCCAACCCACACATCAATAACCTGGCGTGCGTAAACGGGAGGCTTGCGTGATGTCATAGGTACCGCGAGAAGGCGGCCAGATCACACCAATTATGCATAAAAGGCCGTGCTTAGAGGGGGGAGAAGAATGGGTTCATTCTTTGATGTCAGTGCACTTATACAATAGTGTGTCTGGGAGACGTTTGTGTCATGTCTGATTATGAGAGGCCAAGGTTCTCATTGTTCTCAACAAGGGAACAGCGTACTATTAGACTTACAATCTTCTAACTACTTCATTTACTCTCCAGCTAAAATATCTTGCAAGTTGCAATTGTAATTAAGACTTTCATGTACATGTACAATTAATTGTACATCAAAGTTCTTAATTACAATTTACTGTTGCAAGACTGCTGACACAGAACAGGTTTTAACAATTACATGTATACATATTCACTGACTATGCAGGTTTGTAAGTTATGTTTTAATCCTTGAAATGATACATTCTTTTTAACATCAGTGTAGTAATATGTCAATGTCAGTATATGCATTTTGCAAAAACATTTAACAATAGGTTTTAAAAGTTTACAGGTACATGTATGAGAAAATACCCACAGTAATACTTAAGCTGCAATGGGTCGAGATAATGACCAAACCTCATGTGATTTCTGCTACCACTGACTTGTTCGAACATTACACAGAATATTATAGAAACTCTGGAATGAAGATCTGATATACAGTAATGTTATAAACCATTAGCTGTCTAGACGGCCAGTCATGTGCAATGGAATAAATATCATCATATTACTGGTAGTATGTTTGTACAATCCATCATGTGATATTACTACACAACACACAATGTAGTTCCCTATGTCCAATTGAATTTAAAAAGTGTTTGGAATCCAGCCAGTAACACAGAAGTGATTTGTATCAGTAAACGATAACCATGTGCCTATAATTATGTGGAGACCAATGTGAACTTTTTTCTTCACCAATCCTGTCAGTCAGGTAAAGACTGAGACCTGCGTGTGACCGCCCCTCCCCCCTTATGTTAATTGCAGCTTTGATAAAGTTTTCATCTTCTTTGCTTTTTGTAGGAAAATGTACAGGTATGTGGTAGATATTACTTTTTTAGTTGCCCAGGAGAATGCAGCAAGCAGTCCTGGCTTGTGTGTGCCAAGGACATGGACAACAAACTGAACAAGAAAGTTGTATTAAGACTGATGAGTTGTAGTTGTTTTACTAATGTCAGGTGGAAAACAGAGGATTTCAACTTTACGAGCTAATGCAATTGGACAAGGTCCCTGGGGCGTCATGATTCAGCGCGAAAACAGGAGGCACCTTCGTAAGTGGCTACGTCATAGCCTGCGGAGAAATGTCACCACGTGGGGCAGCCAGCCGTGAAGACGTCACCACAATAACGGGATGCCTTCTGCCCGACGGCGCGTGAATGTCTGTGTTGTCGCAGACAAACTTTGCTGGGCCGTGCGGCAAATGTCAGGGCAGGAAAGTTCAGGCCGAGTTCGGGACGTCCATTGTTTGTGCGCGTTTGATTGGCACTCGGGTCAGAGCGCAGGGTGAATGAAACCCATTGTGTTTGAGCCAGTCTGGTTATCACACACGTAATCCAGGTTGTTCTGGTTTTGTTGGATGATTTTTGAACTATGTTTAAACCTCTGGTACCAGATTATCTCCCAAAGTGAGAATTTAGTGATTCGTTCACAATGTTAACATGTACAATCCTCAGCCAAATGTGAGGATTTAAGCTGCATGGATATGGAAGGAAGTAGAAAAGCAAGCTAGGGCGTAGAATACTCACTGTCTTAAGATAGATTTTTGAATACAAATGTCAAGGGGTCAACTAAGTTGAACACGCTCTTACAGCTTGTAGTTCCTTCTCCCTCAGCTCATAACTTTTATAATATGTGTGACATGAAAATTTTAAAACAGTGCTTCTTAGATGCCACTTTGTCCAAGATAAATGTTGTATAATTTCTTTCAAGTTGATTTAACAATCCATTGTCCCTGAAAACGGCCATGGCCCAGAATTGTTGACATTTGATTTTGAGGCCTAGTTGGGAATCTGTCGATACCACATCTGACCTTTTGTTACCTTTTTATACTGAACATGCATTCATGACTACAATTTTTCAAAGGTAAAGAAGGTATAGGATACAGGAGTTTTCTTTTACACAACTCAGATAGCTTACCTTGCTGACGTTTCACAAGATCACAGGCAGATTCGTATTAGATTTGCTGTTATTTAGTATCACATGCTTTTCAACATCTTTTTGACAGGTAACATCAAAAGAATAAAAGAGCTCCTGCTTGAGGACATCAGCCTTCGCAATGCGTCCTGTACTCAGGAGGGAGGAGCCACGCCGCTCATGTTCGCCGCCATGCACGGTCACATGGCTGTGGTACAGCTCCTCGTGGAGAAGGGCGCAGACATCAACAAACAAGACACCATCAGTGGATGGACAGCACTCATGCAGGCTGTCTACTATGGGTACATGCTTCTACTACTACCTAAACGCAGCATGTCGTCAGAACGTACTGCACCTGCGCGAAACCGGCAATATTGTGCAAAGCACTTTGGCAGAACGTCTTGTATAAGGTTGTATTTGAGTTATAGAAGGTTAACATTCCATCATTGGTTTCCAACCGTTCCAAGTATTATGTCTTAAAAGATATCGTCTGCAACAAGCAAAAATTCTGATGCAATGTTGACCAAACATCCAACAAACAATGTGAAAAGTCAGGGTTTCGCGCAGGCACAGCACGTTCTGCTGACGTGCTCCAAAACGCTGTCCTGATAGCAATGAAAAGAGCAAGTTGAGTGATACTTCTTCAGCTAGCTGTACTATAAGACTGTATAAGACTGTTTGTGCCAGTAATGTCATATCAGAGATCAGATCTGATGCTAAAGTGATGTGCATTTTTTTAATCCTACAGGAAGAAAGCAGTTGCAAAATACCTGATAACAGCAGGTGCTGATGTCAACATCCAGGCCATGAATGGCTGTACAGCCTTTGATATGGCTTCACTTATAGGTACAGTACATTTGTATGGACCTCTACGTGCATGTTTACCACCTGCAGAATTCTGCCTTAAGAATGGTGTGGCAGATGGGTTGTTTGACCTGACAAAGAAGACATGATACATGATGTAAATTCTTAATGTTAAACATGTACTTTGAACTAGAATTGTAACAATTTTTGTTGGTAGACACAACAATTGTACCACCATGTGTAAGTTTAAAAGAGATACCTTGGTTAGGTCTCCACTGCCATCCTGGCCAGAGAATTTAGCTCTTGTATGGTTCATCTTGAGTAATTACCATTCTACCTGAACCTATACTTGATATTTGATCCATGTAATATGGATATAGCTATCTGTATTTCCATTCCCCCAATCGGAAAATCAGACTGCCACTTCTGTAGTTAAGCCCTTTTGTATGCAATGGTTACGTTTTTTGCTAAGCAGTTTTGATGGTGTTGTTGACAGATGACATTGACACTGAGCTGGTGAGATTGCTGGCTGCAAAGGCCATGAAAGTCAACAAGCCACAGAAGGGTGAGTATCCATCTCAGGCTTGTAGGCTGTGGTGTGGGTACTAATCTTTATGTTTTCATTTTAGTCTTGTAGTTTGCTAATATACAGTATGTGCAAAATGCTAAAGATGTGATGGGACCTGTAGTATCAATGGTTGTACGCTAGAGTATTTCAGATGTACACAAAATGTCTGTCTAGACAGTTCACCGGAACAAATGTTTAAAATGTAAATCTTTGCTGAGATTAATGTTGGCACTCTAATTATCACAATTTATGGTCCCAAATGTCAGGGTGGCCTCGCCTCTGGGGCTTATCCAGGCAGGGAGACAGATGAATGTTTTGTCTGGTGGTGTTAATGGGTTGTCTTTATTAGTCTAAGACATGTTGCTTAACCTGTATTTTATTCCTTTTTGTCATGTAAAAGTGTATATCCTGTCTTGGGTTCTGTACTAAACACATCAAACTACACATGTCAGTGTGTTTTTTCTTCTGGTACACTAGCTCACATGTCACATGAACTACAGTATTAAGTGTTACTAAAGGTCAAAGTAGAACCCGATAACACAATGATCAGCAAGCATCAGATCCATATACCTTTTGCTAATGTGCACAAATTGCAAGGAACAGTGTCTCAAGCTAGCCATTTTTTCTTCCAACATTTAGGGCGATCTTCTGCTTGGATTACACCTTCTACTAGCAGCTCCAACTCCAAAGCTGCCCTCAATGGTGGAAATATTCCCTCTACGTAAGTCAACATCCAGAAATACAGTCAAGTAACACAATCGTCATGCTAAGTTATTCAAGTCCCTACAGTATAGCATGTTACATGTCATAATTCTTGATGTATGTCTTTTCAGATAGTATCTGTTTTTGATCAATAAAGTGGTTTACTGTTATTGATAAGTGGTGATGAAGTGGTGTTCTGTATTGATTGCCTTCTTTTGTTCCCCTGCAGCTCTGAGGAGAATGTGAGAGGCTTGAGGGTGTGTATTCTCTCAGAAGACTCCACCACCTTTGATAACACAGTGCTATATTAAGTTTGGCCTTTCATTCAAAGGGTTGTGTTGCAGAGTAGTTTCAATCAAAGGCAACCTTTCATTGTAGATGAAAATGTAAAATGGTTGCCAGAAGGCAAATCATATTCAACGAAAATCTAATGAATTCTTAGAAAGGCCATTTCTAGAATAAACAGAAGTAAATTCCTCAATATTTATTCTGATGTGTGTTAAGATCAATTCTAGGAAAAATTTGTTTTTGCTTTTCTTTCTCGTAAAGTTGGAAATAAGTTGACATTTCTGTGTCAACTGTTCAAACAAATTCAGCTGAAGCCTTTCATGTTAAGTGCAAGTCATCAGAGGCAGAAGATCCAATTAACTGATGTCAAACCTGGTTGAAACAAGTGTTATTAGGTTGGAAATGAGATGTATTTGGGTCGGCCTTTCACGTCAGACTGTTCCAACCATTCATCTGTGGAGAAAATTACATGGAACCACAGTGCTTGTGTAATGGAAACATTTTGAAATGGTCAATCTGTGTTGTGTCTCTGGAAAATCCATTCATCAGATTCAAGGTCACAGAATTTCCAACTTCAGATAGTCAAAATGACTGCAGTATGAAAGATTGGTAGTGCATTAGTATAGTATTTGGTTTAAATTACTTCAAAATTTTGACTAATTTTGCTTTTTCAACTTGTCTTAAATATACATTTTTGTTATGATGGTGTTAGGATGAGATGGTAAATTAAATGCAAATTTAACCTGTTTTGAAGTAGGTAACACCCCTGTAATATCTCCTATGCTTTCATAAAGCAATGAAGATTTTTTTTGTTGAAATCTCTTGCAGTCATGGTGGAACCGTATGTCGAATCGCTTCCGAAATCTGAAGATCACACGAACGTTGCGAGGCATTAACAAGTTGGCTCCCTTCAATGACGAAGAGGATATCAACGACATGACACTACGTAGCCCCCAACAACAAGAAAGTGCCAACAGACCAGAGCAGCCCAAAAGAACCATAACTAGTGGTACGTTGGTGAAGGTTACTCATCCAGGAATACGATAAATAGATAAAGCTGTTAAGTCTTTTCCAACTGGATAATTGATAACTAGTGGTAATTGATGAAAGTTTTCTATTACCTAGAATGAAGGGAACATGTAGGTTGTGCATGAAAATGCAGTACAAAATGTATACCACCAAGATATGTACATAAAGTAATTGAATACAAGAATGGAGTCATGCGTAATGATGTCCAAGGCTACTAGTGTTGCAAAATCTAACCCTGTCCTGAATGATATAGTCTCTGTTGTGACACTTGTATGATTTTTAAATACTGAATATGAAATATTTTGGTATTGCAGCCTTCAACAGCATAGGTGACTCAGGGATGGGTAGCAGTTCTCTCTACACTATGGTTAGTACTGTACTGAGTGCACCTCACTGTGTTGTAAAGAGTTGTAGGTTGTAATGGCTGTTACTGCCCGTTAGTAGATATTTTAGTGACCTACTTAAATACTTAGCATGTCTGTGAAGTTGCTGTCATTTATGTAATCATTATGGAGGAATATAAAATATGAGCTACTCGATTATGGAATTTTTGCAGCTGAATCAAAATGCAATATTTAAAGGTTCACTTTTTTTTTACATTTCCACAGAATTTGAACTCAGGCCCAGCCTCCAAACTGCCCAATGACATGCTCCTGCCAGTCATCCCCCCGTTCCTGCCACCACCGACTTTTGAGTTGAACAACACAGACAGACCCCGCATGATGTATGGTTCCAGAACATCACTATCAGGAAGCAACGGGGTAGGTACAACAGCTAGCATTGATCAGTTGATAATGCATTGTACATGTACATAACCATTAATCTTAAATAATGGTTCTAATAGTTTACTTGGACATTGAAGGTATTCCTTATTTTTCTGTTGTGCTGTACTACAAATGTACTTAAATTTGTGAAGTTATAACAGTTACAGTTGTATAGTGTGTTGGAGCCCTAAGAGACTTAGTAGCTCATTTTTCCATTGCACCGTACCATCTGTACAACAAATCGGTCCGTTAGCATTTACTATTTCTTATGTTTGTATTTATGCTAGGTATACAGTATTGTTGTGTAGTAAGATGTATAGAGCACTAGTAGTTTAAGTATACAATACTAGAAGTATGTTGTAATAATCTCAACATGTTTATTGTACTGGTAAGTCCATAAAAAAATCATAAACAATTCTGACAGACATGTAACTTGTAAATGTTGATTTTTAGAACAAATATTAAAATTGAATGTCTGCTGATTCCAGAGCTCCAGCAACAAGACCCTGCTGAGACCCAGCCGTTTCCTGGCCACGTCGGGAAGTACCCACACCAGTCCCAACAACTCCTCACACTTCCACACCCACAGCCCCACCTCCTCCGGTGGAGCCAGTACTGTCAGCGGCATCTACCCTCCATCCAGGAGAAACATCCTCACTGGGTACGGGGGAGGCTCTCTAGGTACGATCACGTTTTGTTTTTATTGTGGAAAAACTCTCCTTTAGCTGCCCATCCGTGAAAGCTATTCTTCCAGGAGAGGGAGTACATAAGAACATTACAATATATCAACAGACAAGTACAATTATTTAAAAGAGACTAATGTGTAACATCGTATGTGCTTTACTTACTTATGTCCCTCATGTGGTTTAGTAGGCCTTGTTTGAAATTCTCATGTGATGACACTGTTTGTATGTGGTAGAGAGTTCCATGCTACAGTACATGGCTATTTTAGTTTGAAAGAGTTTCTACAGTCTATTTTCTGAAGCAGTCAAAAAGGAGGCTTTTGCAGTCAATATGTTGCATGAAACAGTGTAGAAATGTTTTAAAAGTGAGTTATTGTCTTGCTGGTTAACCAAACTGCCCCTGAAGTGATTGTTGTTGTCCCATTTGTCCCCAGCCCCCATCCCTGGTCAGGTCTCCTACCCAGACACAGGTTTCCTTCCTCACATCACATCTCCCAACAAGAGAAACACGGCCAGGTCACCTGCACAGTCTATCAACATACCCAGGTACGTCTAAACAACTAATTACATCTTAACAAAGTGCCTTGTTGTTTGTATTACATACAAGAGCAGTGTGTTACGGTTTAGTGCACATGTGGATGAAGTTATCATAGATTTCAAGCAACGATCTTCTGTTTTGGACTTTTTCCATGGTTGAAACAGAGTATCAGTCACGTGAACACAACATGAGTCGATTTACAACAGTGTTGTACAGGGTGTTTTTGCCAGTTTACGACAGTTGCGTGTGATGAACAGATTACGCTCGTAATTTGTGGCAGTTACCTGAATGAGTAACGGTTCTGGCAGACTGCCAACGCGGAGTGTTGACGTTTTTTTACGTGTTAGCCTTTTCACGTTTTCACGAGAATGTTTAACTTTAACTGTACTTTAACTGTGCCAGCTGCGCAGACAGTATTCATTATGTCCTAATGTTCTATGGAGAACATTCATTACTCTTTGCCACCTTCACAATACAAAGGGACAAGCTGAAGAAAGTTTTGTAATGAAGTGGAAGTAATGAACCTAGTGGCAATGCCAATGGTTTGCTGTATGACCTCATCATTGGTGGGTCTTTATGTGTGTTAAAGAGGTGCAAACTGTACATGTAGGTCATTGGGCAAAAGATAGCCCGGCTGGACACTTGGACAAGCGTAGGTAATCCCTGTCTGATGCTGTCAATCTATCCATACAGGAGTATTCAGATCTTATCACCTGACAGCTAATACTAATTGGCCCCCCTCCCGCCTACCTTCTGGCTATGGACTACAAATTCAACAACATGCACATAAAAAACCCTCTGTACTCTTATCACTGCAAAACAGATCAAGCAAAGCTCTTGTGACCTTTAATAGACAGACTGTTCAGGAAAGCTAAGTTATGATTGGGTTGAGATTGGGAGGAAGTGTTTTCCAGAAAGTTGCTCATGATCTGTGCCTAGTATTGCCTACCATAGTGTTGTATCCATGTCTTTTACAGGCTTTTATTCTGAATGATGGCTAGTTTGGGGAAATACATCTACAATATGTAACAGGAATTTAAAGTTGGAATGACTGCCTGAGATGTTTGTACTTTTACATCCCAAATTACGACTTAACAAATCTATTACAGATATAATAAGTTACTGGGTTGCTAATTTTAAAAGTATACTATTAGCCATGATTTTGCTGTACAAATTAATTTTGTTGCCTCTTCGTACAGCCTGACCTCCTTTTAATAAAAGTTAGAATAAATACCATATTAGAAGTAAATGCTATTTGTTTATTGCCATGACTTTTAGTGATGTATGTTTTATGCCACTTCTTGCCATGCTAGCGTGGTTTTGAGCCAGGAGATGTAAGTCATAAACCCTTTGCCACCTATCTGTCGTTATTCATATTTCCCAGTAATATGCATGTTTGTACGCATGACCTTGTTGTGGAATACATGTATGTTTCTACCAAAACAAAATATGTTTAGAGTCTTTCTAAAACATTGTTGCACCAAACTGAACACTTTTCGTCGTCACAGATACTCAGAGTCTAATTATTACATGTACATATGCATAAACTTTTACTATTACCATTGAAAAATATTAATCTTGACTGACTGTTGAATACTTGAATACTTTCCTTACTTAACTGTCAGAATACAAGTTTGAATTGCAAGTACCGGTAACTCTGGTTGCTGATTACTAAACCTGGTGTTCTCTCATGATCAGTGGATCCTCCCCGAACCATGTGAATGAGTCGTTACCACCGTTAAACCCACATTCATCCAGCCGGTTCCTCTCGCCACCAATCAGCCCCAGTTCCTCCTTCTCTACATCGACCATCCAGAGCTCAGACTCCAGCGAGAACGGCAAGTTCCTGACTCCGCCGATGAGCCCGTCATTTTCCTTCTCATCTACCTCTACTCTGCGGCGCGGGAGTGGCGACTCCGGACTCTTCCTGACGCCCCCCATGACTCCGCTGTACTCCCCCTCCCCCACGCCGAGCGACCAGTACCTCACCCCTCCCCACAGCCCCATGTTCTCCTCCACGTCTACCCTGCGCGGGGACGACATGCACTCCCCAGACTATTACACACCTCCACACAGTCCCCAGGTACACGTTATACACCACTATCCCGGCAACGGCGTGGACCACCAGTGGTACTCCCAGGTTCCCGTGTCGCAGCCCAAGTGGTCGGACTTACCCGGCGCTGTGCCGACCTCCTCTCCCACCGTGCAGCGTCGCCCGTCCCCGCTCCGGTCTGTGTCTCATGTGACGCTCCCTGCCATGTCCGCCACTCAGATGTGGTTATCCCGGCAGGAGAGTCGAGAGGGGCAGATCTGTTCCACGTGCTCGCAGGTAATCCCCTCGCCGGAGATGTCCCGCAGAGAGAGCAGCGTGTCCGTCATGTCCTCCGTGGTCTCCTCACCGACCGGCATTTTCTACACGTCGTCCCCGGGCAGTTCTCCGGAGTCGTCCATGCAGCAGTCCCACGGATCGGACGAGGGAACGCCGCGCCCGCAGAGAAGGATGCCGTATCCCGTAGGCCGGCCGTCGTACTCCCAAGGAGGCCTGTTCTACCCGGAACCTCAGCCAGGCCCATCCTCAGCAGGCACTGATGTTAGAACCTGTCCTGACAAGAAGGAAACCCCTGTTCCTAGGAGGAGTCCCCAAACGAAGAGGTGTTTTAGGGACTTCTCTCTGTGTTGTGTTCAGAAGGGAACAATGTCACAAGCACCATCATCATGCATGCCAGCACCTTGCCATTAGTTTGCCCTCTGTGCAATATGCTTTTCCGTCAATGTATTAAATTTTTGTTTACATTTTATTTTATTGTGTGTGGAACACTAGAGAATATTTAAGATGAATCTTTGTCTTTATTTCTGTCATTTAAAGTTTTTAATGTCAACATGTCAGTGTGTGCAAAAGCACACTTTGTCTTCTCAATATCATGTATTTCCATATTAATGTCGTAGGTGGCAATAAAGCACAAACCTTTGATGTGTATCCCTTTTTTTCTCATCCTATGTTAGAATTTTACACTTTTGATAGAAATTGAATAAATGCACTTGTTCATGACTTGTGATGAATTGGTTTATTTGCTATACAGGTAAGATGTAATACCGTACTGATTAATGCTTAACTTCTAATATTCCTTTTCCATGCAAGCATGTACCTAAGTCCTGAAATGTAAGTTAATTTTGCCCTTGGCATGTAGCTTGAAATATGAAATTCTCCTGTGTTGGAGACATCTTCCCAGAGGATGCTATATTTGCTAAACACACATTGTGATATGAATGTCTGGCTACATACATGTAGCACCATATTCAGCATTGCTGATTCTTGGTACAAGAAATGAAAATCACTGAACAGTCAGAAAATGTGCAGGACCTTTTATAGATGTCTTAAAAACAATTTATACTTCACAATTAACATGTAAAACAGAGAAGTTGTCCTGTATTTGATCTCCTGAAATCCTTTGGTTACAGGGCACCGGTTACGTCCACGACGGCCACCATCCATCCTGTGGTGATGTCCACCATGAAGACCTCAGCCTCCAGCAGTTCTCTCAGTGGGTCATCCTCCAAGACGAAGAGACCGGCGTCAGGTGGGACCTCCAGAAGCAGCACTCTCACACCATCACCTTCTCCCACCCGCAAGGGGAGTGGGGACGAGAAGAGGCACAGCCTAGGTATCGGCAAGGTGCAGCCACCGAGGGGAAGCTCAAGTGCGACTTCATCAGAAGAGGGTGAGTAAAAGTCATGTCTGGCTGGCCATTGCACATTGTGTAGGTGTTACCTTTTATAGAAGCAAAGCATGTGTATGTACATGTAGGTGCTGCTTTTAAATTTTCTTAGTTTCTTTTCTACAGCTTGGAAGGTTAAAATTCCAGGCTGCTTGTGTTGATATAGAAATGCACTAATACTGGCATCCCAGAGAACTTAAGAAGTATTTTATACATGTATTGATGATGTCTTTTCTGTCATAGATGATGTTTCTGCACTCCTCAAGAAGCTGTCACTAGAAAGATACAGAGCCATCTTTGAGGAGCAAGAGGTAAGACCCTTTATTTATTATCATATTATGATGTACAAGTATACGGTAGTTACACCATCCACGCATATCCTAGAACTATGTAAATTAAATGTACTTGTATATATGCTGCCCAGTACTACCGAAAAACCTAAGTTTGTGGGTCAAGACGATAATGTTTGGGTTTCAAATGAAAGCTCATCTGTGTTGGTAGAATCATAGACTGATAGAGTTGTAGAGTTTAAACTTTAAGGTAGTGTGGCTTTGAATGTACATTTTAGCCCAAAACAACCTGACAGCATTGTTGTGTCTTTGTCACAAACAGGTGGACATGGAGGCATTCCTTACACTGACTGATGAAGACTTGAGAGAACTCGGAATCTCTTCTGAAAGACCCAGGAGGCAAATTCTTTCTGCCATTGGAGAACTGAACTCTGAAAAGGTAACCTTTCCCTTTTGTATGCATATTCCTTTTTGCCAATTTTCAGGTGTAAGCATACAGTTATCATGTTTTCAGCACAAAATATGTTTTGTAAGGGACAAGTACCAATTAGGTTAACACAATAATTATGACATGAGCTATTTTTTATTAACTTTGTCTTTCTTTTTTGACAGGGAAGGGAAAGGCAATTTTACAGAGAAACTCTCAACAACTTCCAGCCAGCCATTGGAACTGGCATGGGTAAGAACTGTGTCACCAGTCAACCTGAGTGGTATCAACCTGGTACATGTATAATCAGGTGTTCTGGCCCATGTGATAACTAGCGGTACAGCCAAATGTTCTGTAGAATAATTCGTGTTTTGCCTGAGCCACGTGTGCCGCTTTAAAAAATTCAAATACTGGATTCGGACATTGGTTTTGGTGTTAAATTTTTTGTTTGCGGTACACCAAATTTTGGCACATTTTGCATTGAAATGCATGTTTTCTTGCATGAGTATGACATAAAATAAAATACAACACGGTGTATTCCGCATCACCTTGGATCCCAGCCCTCCCGTGGGTTTGATCTCCCTCCGACCTTCGGGCGATCCAATACCGTCGGGCCAATACCTCGGGTGATACGGAATACATTATGTTGTATTCTATATTTCACAACTTTCCTGTAGAGAATTTTCCTGTAGTGTACTCATCCTGCATCCTGTTGTCTCTGTCCACAGGTGGTCCTGGCAGCCTAGTGAACTGGAATATGTCCCAGCAAACAGTGCAGGCTGTCCGTAAAGCTTAGTAGAGACGCCATGTACATGTACATGGATACGGATCAAGGCACAAGACTATACTGCAAATACACAACGTACCAGACATATCCAGACCATGGACTGTTGTTGGCTTCAGATGATATCAAAGTGTGAACTAGCCATTTTCTCCTTCACCAACATTCCTTTGACAAGAGAAACAGAACATAGACTGTTGTTTTAAGTATATGAGATGTAGATATTAGTGTTAACTTGGAGAAACTAAAGAGTATTTATTACTTGCTGTAGGATGACCCTGTCTGGTAGTCTGACGTCCAGGTCTGGGCTCATTTGTGTTGGTTCAAGTCACCTTGTGGGTAAACTTTTAAACCTATAGTATGATAACACTGGGCAAGAATTTCTAAATGTGGCAGGTGCAGGTCTTGTATCAGTAGTGTTTTCTTATGGGTAGTTCCTACAAAATACAAAATTCCCAACATGTTACATAGCTATCAGCACTTTTCTAAACTGATCAACTTACTACTCAATTACATCTACTATATCGATGTAAACACATGCATTGGTCACAAGGAAAGGGTGAGCATCTCCAGAAGGTGTTAGTCATCTTTTATTATCTTTGAACAGGATTACCCAGTCTAGACATATGTACATAGTACATAATCTCAATTATGCTTATCCAGCAGTCATAACTGTTTTCTGTTGTAGGATAGGCAGATCACACCACAGCTGTTACACCCCATTCAGACCAGACTTATATTAAGCGGTTTCAACTGGTTTTTCAAAAACCGGTTTTTATTTAACCTAGTGTGAATGCAAATCAACCGGTTTTTAGGGGTTTAAATCCGATTTTCAAAAACCACCTCGGGAGGTGGTTTTTGAGGGGCTTGTCCACAGAAAAACCTGGTCTGAACGTTAAGGGTTTATTGAACCGGTTTTTGCATCATAATTCTGGGGTCACGGGGTCAGCATCCTGACCGTGTGCAACCTCCAAGCTTTTTGATCGTGTTGTTTTGACCAAGTTGAGTTTGTTTCCACTGTTTTTCCACGGTTTCTCTTCATTTTGCGATGGAATCAGCATACGCAACCTGGTCGGTGGACAAGACGCTCCTGATACTTATTTTTGGAGAGCAGGAGTCGCAGAATTCGAAAAAGCTGGGGGGGGGGGCGTCTAACCGAAAAAAAATGTTGGAGGAGCTTGCAGACAGCATACAAGAACCTAAAGACGGCATACAAGAAGGCCCAGGACAACAATCGGAAGAGCGGGAGGAACGGATATTCAAAACTGCAGTCATGGCCGATTCATTGGATATTCACTGGACAGGATTTTTACAAAACCGGTTATGAAAAGTCTGATATGAACGCTAAGGGTTTTAGCCGGGTTTTCCTCCACTAATTATTCAGCGGTTTCAACCGGTTTTTAAAAGTCTGGTCTGAACGGAGTCTAGTCTAATGGCTGGTATGAATGTAGACGTGTGATTTGCACTAAACACAAATATGTTGTACAGTAAATGTATGAAATGGCCTCCTGTTTTGGCATCAGAAACATATCCTCGTATTGTGGAAACTTGGAGAATTCCTGCAATCAGAGTATTTTCAATAGTCTTACTTGCATAATGATATCTGTAAATATATATACCAATCCTGTAGTAGATGTAAGAAATATGTGTATATTCTGCCCTAGTAAGGCTGCAAGCAATGCTTTAAGTGTTTTATTTTAAATGGCAAGCCTTGAAATGGCGAAGCCTTTTTATTAACACAGCCCATAAAAAGCACTGAAAAACATGATGTATTTTGAATTTGCATTAGATGAAATCTGCATTCAGCAGCATACTGTATTTTATGTGAATACTAGTGCAAAACGATTTTTGTGTTTCAACTGTAGTGTGATATTGTGAACAGTGATGTCATACAGTCTTTCAACTTCTGTGGAATCACTTATTGTCATGTTGTCTTTCGTCAGTTTAAGTATTGTCATACATGTAGATGTATGTTTGCTGCCTTGCAGTACTGTTTACCAAGAGATGATCATAAAAGATGAAATATAAAACAATATATTTCATCCATACCATGGTATGGAGTGAAATATAATAACCATGTTTGCAGCAAAATGGTGCAAAATTAGGTTTAGACATGCCAAATCAACTTCCCAATATTACTCTTACATTCTTACTAGCTTGAAAAAAAGACCCCAAACATAGATTGTTTGCTGTAGGACAACTTAAGGTAGACATTGTATGCATTACTAACTTCCAGACTATTACATCTACATTTCTGAAGGACATACTGTAACAGTATTATGTGTACAGTACCAATAACTACTGGTAGATATCAACCTGTTGATGACACAGCTTTTTTTCAGTCAAGTACATTGTAGAATCAGGGTGTGTGTGCCGGGGGTAGGTACATGTATGACGAGGACACTGCACATAACTTTTCATTGTGTTATTGTCACAAATAACTGCTTGGGTGTTTAAATTTACTCCTGATTGTTATCCCAGTTTGCCCTACCATTGCTGAACACGTCTGAAATTGCTGATCCAGTATTTATTACTTCAGTTTGCTTACCACTTTGCACACACAGTAAAATATCATCTAAGCTACCATCACAACATACCAATTGAACACAAGTTTTCAGAGCGAAAAGGTTTTGAAAAGGAGCTGTATGAAAATGGAACATTTGGGATGACACGATCGCTGTGAAAAGGTAGCTCACACATTTGAAGTGCCTACTACATTAGGTTTCACTAACCATCTGGAACTCGAAATGATGTTAGATGTGCAGGCATGTTTATAATTATCACTGAGTGTCAGGTTCACTTGCTACATGTACGTCCAAGCTGTATTGTCGTTTGATTATCTCTTTGTGTCAAAGGCAGATAGTTCTATTTTGTACAATTTATACTAGTAGAAAGTGCTATATTTGTAAGCAAAGGACCCATGAAATATGCTTGTTTAGAAGGAATTCTGGTACACATAAATTGAAAGACCACTGATTGTATGAAAGCTAATTATGTATATATAAGTGGCAACCTTTTGCCTAGCAGTAACAAGCTCAATCTTGTAGTGTTCTTACATTCCCAAATTTGCAATAAATGTACTTAATGATCTAGAGTGCCGAGAGTGTATGCATGTAGTCTGTAGTGTAGATTGAAAACAAAAACGTATGCTGCTCACCACACTTTATTCCATCACAATAATTATCATTTATACAAAAACTTGTAGAAATCGCAGACGATGCAATGCTTTAGTTCCGTACACCTACCTCTACATGTGTAATTTGCCAGTAGCACCTTGACCAGATTAGATCCAGCACAATTCCAATAATCTCATACAACTCCATAGCAATAACTCTCAAATTGGAATATCCAATTTTTCAAGTCCACTAATAAGGGTATTTTGAAGGCCAGAATTGATCAAAGCCAGCTTTTATATAATTTGACATCTGGCTTATCTTAAATACAAAATATTGCAAATGGACACTTTTACGTTCAAATAGATACGCTGGCACCATACAAACAATTTAGTATGATATCATATTACTGGCTGCAAACAATTTTGGCTGGGCTTGTGACAGGTTTTTTGATTGACCGTGCTACATTTCACAATTATCCAGTGCACAGGCACATGTGTAACGTCATAACATTGTATTATACTAGGCCCTTACTGACAGTACAGGTGTTTACATGTATGCTGCTGGCACGGTGTTATGAATCTATCGTAATTCTAGCCTATGTCCTATAGTGACGAAAGAAATGTTGGAATAGCCTGGGTGCCATCCGATTTGTAACAGCTACCCCAAAAATATTTTTCAGGGTTGCCATTACAAATCGCACCCAGGCTAATGTTGGAAGCAGACATAAGGTAAAAAAAATCAAGGCCATCTACTTTTACCTCTGAGCAGCATGACTTCAGTCATCTATGGATGGAACAAGGTGATTCTTGCCAGAAGTTACAATCAAGGGGTGGAGTTTTACAAAGCCAGTGAAATTTTCAAAATACCTCACACTAACACTATATGGCACTTCTTACATACTTCACTACAACTACAGTTTCTACATGTAAATATAATTCCAGTCTCCAAAATTTCTCAAACTTTACACACCAAAAATACATCATGTACAGTTCAGAAAACTGACGTCATTGAAACTTCCGTACACCACAGCATTTGATCTTCCTTGTCAAGTACTAGTTGATTGGATTTTATCCATAAAATGATCACAGTATGTTGATCACAAGGCTAGAGTGAAACATGTTCGAAGACACCTTCCTTAAGTTTCTTGTCAAAACATCTTTTAAATGTATAGGTGAGAGGGGGTTTGATTCCACAAACACTTTGCCACAAGATTTATATTAAAAGTTCTGTTTCTGGTTTTCATTTTTTACATGCACATTGAAGAGTTGTGGTCTACACAGCAAGTGTAAGACAGGCGAACACACATCCTATGCACAAACTAAATATTGTGTGCAGTATCACGGTCCACTATCACATGCACCTTTACATCTAGTATGTCCTTTACAGTCCTTCCTCTTTGGCCTAGGCCTAGCCGCATCCCTTTGGTTTCTCTCCGGGTGTATTTCTTTCTTTGCTGATTTATGGTTTACTCCTGGGTGTAATTTTTGTTTTTGTTCATTTTCTATGTTGTCACTTTTTATTCCACTTCACAGGCGAAACACTTAGTACAGTATTGTTGCCAACTGCCAGAACCAGCCTTACTTCCATGATATTATATTATACAACATCAGTGGAATGCTCTTTTGGAAGATGACAGACAATACACTGCAAATAGGCACACTATATGGCTTCTTTTGTAGCAAAATAGTATTTCTTTCAAAGTCCACATACATGTACCCTCATGGTCTGCCATTCACACGCCTTACACATCAATACTGTACACAGACTTTTAGAAAGGAAACGTTTCAGTTTATATACATGCTATATACGGAGGGCAAATCTAAATCTTGTGGCAAAGGATCACGGAAATACAAAGTACACCTGGCACCACATTTCACCTGTTATGCACCTGTCAAGACGTGGCTGCTTTGCTGTAGTATGGCAAACTGTTACATGTATACATAATTTGTGGAATCATCCTTGGAATTTGTAGAGAGAGATTTCAAAATTGGAGTGATGCAAAGATTTGTACAGTTACATTGTATCTTGAACCTTACATTCCCCTAATACTCCACTAGGTTGCAAACTTTATTGTCTACAATAGTCTGGAAGGTGAAGTCTATGACTTAAGGCTGAAGACAAGGGTGAGGAACTGCTCGTAGGAGATGTCAATCCAGCCGTTTCTGTTGGTGTCAAACTGTTGGAAGGATCCAGTCAGGGTCTGGAGGGCAAGATAAGGAGAAAGAGATTTTCAGTTTGCTTCATGACAGTGGTACATGCATGGCCATCATTGAACATACATGTATATACAACTGTACTGTGTTCAAATTCAGGGCCATACCCGACAATGCTTACAATAACAACAATGTACTTTGGCACTCTGCACCAAATATTTATACATACATGATGTACATTGTACCATGTATAAAATGTAGTCCTTCACAAGTTATAGTAAAATCTAACATTTACAGCCTCCTCTGATCTTTGACTGTTTGAGACAGAGAGGCACCATTACCTGACCTTGGTACCAATGCTAATGAAACCTTGGTCAACTCATGAAGTCCAATTTATATTTCTGCCAAGCTTGGTGCTTTTAACTTTAAGAAGTCTTTGGTATGTATCACTTTTAAAATTTAAGTGGCATCCAAAGCATAAAATCAAAGCCAACAAAATATTTTTTACATCTTTCTGTCAAGGAGACTTAAGTCATTTCCATGACAAACTACACTGTTACTAGTAGAACGAAAATGTTGAAAACAAGGACAGAAAGCTGCATCTTGTTATAACAGAAGAAATGTACTGCAGCATTTTGAGATCAAATCTACAGCATGGTAGTGTTAGCTCGGTAAAGCTCAGGTCAAGCTAGATCCATAGAGCAGAGGAATAGACTAAAGGCATGCAGCCATCTTCTGAGGGTTACCCATTGAAAATGACATGATGTTAGTGAGAGAAGACAGAGTAGCATGAAGAGTGAGTCCTGCAAGCCTGGGGCTGATGTCAACAGCAAATGGAGACAGACACAACCACGCACTTGCCGCCAACATCACCCTAGGCTGGGAGGAAAAGCAGACAGTCCACCCCTCACCAGTGCACCTCCCACTGTAGGCTACAGTTCTAATCTTACTCTATTATCCAGCAGTGATTGACCCCATTTACCCAGTGATTGGCTCTGTAAGAGTACATTTACTGGTTAGTCTTCCCGTGTAGCACCTCCATCCACATAAGTTGTTTGTAGGTTGATGAGCCTTCCATTTTAGTTTCTATATAAAATGATTTTAGAACCTGAGCATAAGCTGTTAGTTGAATTCCAAAGTGGGCCGTCTGACATCAAGAAAAATTGTTGAAATGCAGTTCAATATTACACTGTGTTATACATGTACTATTTTTCCATTGAAAAAATCTGAATGAAGGGGCTCATTGTTGGGGAGAAAATACATGTACAAGTCATCAGAAGAGATGTAGCTGCTTTGGCACGATACTTGATGTTAGGCTTGCAATAGGATTTTAGGCTTGTCTTGTAAGTAATTTCACAAGATTAAGATGAAGCGGTTCTAAAAACATTACAACATAGAGATGCCGATCTTAGCATTATGTTAGTCAGTTAGGATATAGGGCAGGACAGGAAGGTATTACGATAAATATACATGTATCTATAAAACATTTTACCATCTCAAGAATGTACAAGTTTATTCTCACACTTTGAGTTACAGACAACACATGACAGGGATGGCCCATGTACCACATATTCTATCAGCAATGTGGAACAAATTTGAATCAGAATTTTCTGATTGGCTGAGCCAGGGGAGCATCATACCTGTATCGTGACACAACACTGAATGAAGTCGTCAAAATGAATCTGCCCTCTGCCATGACGGTCAAACTTCCTAATCAGGATGTCATAGAATCGGTCGGACAGTCTATAACCTACAGACACACAAAAGCACTAACTCACACAAGTGCAACAGAAAGTAAAATGAAGGGATGGCTACAGGGTAGACCCAAGTTTCATACAAATGTCATTTCATACAAACGTCAACATACTTCTTTTCCAAATAAACTCTTTTGGGAGTATGGAGTAACGACAAAATGATGACAAAATTTTATTCTGCTGATTTGATACTTTTCAAATTAAACACATTAACTTTTAACTTTGTCAAGTGAAAACTTGGTACTCCTGAAACCATCCCTTTGATGACGCATGCTTTAGGTTTAAGTACCTGAACTACAACACAACACTGGATGAAGTCATCGAACGACAAGTTGGCTCGACCGTGACGATCGTACTTCCTGAGCAAGATCTCGTAGAAACGGTCCGACAGATTGTACCCTTAGGTAAACAACAACATTCAAAACATCTTAGGGCTGTTTCAGAGAAGTAAAGAGAAATGGGTGGCAACAGGGAAAAGTTGGTGGTGATGGGAAAGGAAAGAACAAGGAGCAATATTGGCTGAATCACCTCCCATTCATTACTTTTCTGGAACAGCTCTAAGAGAAACATGCTTTTATTAAAAAGTTTTAATGTTAATTTCAAAACCAACAGAATAATTTTCACAAACTGATAGATTTGCGTGCAACAGGCATTTAGATGAAACCAAAGATTTGTGCATACAAAAGTACAGCAATCAGACATAGTCATCAATCTTTCTCTTCAGGAATATATTTTTTTCACAAACATTTGCATTAAATAACTCCCAGACAAAGTTGTATCAAACATCTACTAAAACTCAAATGCAGTAGTTTGCTGAAAGCTGGTAAAAACAAATGGCCAGTGTCGTCATTTACCGAAACTTGTCAGAGCAGTCTTGAGCTCGTTCCTGTCGATACTCCCTGAGTTGTCCCTGTCGTAACTGCGGAAGGTGTTCTGCCAGTCCGTGATGTACTTCCACAGGGACTGGAACTCCTGGAAGTTGATGGTTCCGGTGTTGTCCCTGTCAAACATCCCTGTCCACAGTTTCAAAATAAAACACAGTTGATTTGAAGTCGTAATGGAAAAAAAACAGTCTTCCGGTGCATCACCTAATAATAGTTAGGAAATGAAGATAGCTGAGTAATGATCTAGCAAAAGACTATGACTAATGGTCTAAAATCATGAGAAAAAAAGATGATACAAGACTAAGAGCCAGTCCACTTTTGACTATTACATCATGAACATCAGTACAATATAATTTTAAGCTTAGACTTCTTTCTTTCAAAAACTGCTAATTATCAATTAATGAAACGAGTATATTACCTTTACTTTTGGAATTAAAATTTGAATTGAATACTGTTGAAAAATAGCAGCCTTCAAAATTTTTCAAACACAGTGTAAAATACTGCATACAGCACATAATGATGAAGGCGATCTTAATATACCCATCAATACACACTTTTCTATTCTGGTATTACATAGTAAAAGATCAATAACAAAGTCACAGGGTTCTTGCAGCTATGAAAAGGGCACCACCACCCAAATCATCAGGGAAATATGAACTGGAGAGGCACAGTTAGGGAAAACTAGATTGACTGGGAAGTCAAGCTTTTTCCTAGAAAGCCTTTATCACTCTGTGGGCCTAGTTAGGGATATTCCCTCATTACCAATTCAATTGGGCTGTCGGAGTTAGGGAGAAAAAGTTGGTCAGCTGATGAATAAATTTATTACTTCAGCAGTTAGGTAGAAAACTTTAGGTGTGGCCCTTCCACCACGGAACGGCAATATGAAGAGATGGAGACAAACCTTGTTTGAATCGTAACGGACAAGTTTTGAACGTGGGAACTGACAGGGGCGGTATGGTGGGTATCAGACACACAGGCAGGCACACATTGAGGGAATATTCAGCTGCTCTTACCTATCATAAGCCTGACAGTTTCAGGGTTGAAGGGAGTCCAGGTTCCTGCAAACAGAATCGATCAATGAAAAATTGGATTCCATGCAAAAACACCTTGGGGACTAATCACACCAGTGATAGGATTAGGAACAATTAAGTACAAATATGTCACTGTCCGATTGCTCACGTAATTCCATCTTGACCCTTTTTAAACCTGTCTGTATCTTGAAATTTCTGACCACAAATGATATCAATGATGTTTCATCTTTTTACGATCACCGCCTCATCATCTGTCAGTGTAGCCATGTGAGATTAAGTGACCCCATTTTATTATGGTAATCGGTACTCCATCCATCAGAAACATGATCTGCAATTATGGGCTGAATATACCACCCCAGATCACTGACACCTCAGTGCCAACCCTCCCCAAAGACTTGTCGAAAATTCCATCATTTTCCCCTCCTCTCCCCGGTCAATTCGCCCACCACTTGGTGGGAGTAGATTTACATAACCCTGCATTAATCATACAATTCTTGGAAATGGCAGTACAATCATTCTGTCTTTTTCTAAGAAACCAATGGAGTACCAGTCTCTAGTTAACTAAGTGTTGGCCAATAAATTACTTATCTTAACTTCTATCTACAAAATAATTTTTCAGGGAGTTAATCGCCAATGTACTCCTTATCTTGACTTGTTCAGGAAATCTGTTGCCTTTTCATCCTCTTGTACAGAATAAACACAAAATCACCTTGTCACTAGCATAAAAAGAACTTTAGACTGACAAATTTCATTAACGTGCATCTATTTGTGTTTATTAAGAAGAAGAGGCCTACCATTGGACAAGGCGGTCTGTAGCTCCTTCGCAGAAATGGCACCACTTCTGTCCGCGTCCACTCTGAAAAGAGAACGGATAATCCAGTTTACAAAAAGAAAGAAAAATCAATTCCTTTTAACCAGAGAAACACGAGTACAAGTATAAAAAGTGGAGAATGGATTAACCTACAAACATTCGTCCAACAAAGTAATTTTCGGGAATTTTTTTGCCACATTTTATCCTTTCGTCCAAGTATACGTCACATCTCCTGTCGCCCCTCCATCTTGAATGTGCATGTCTGAAACAGACGTCATTCAACGGATGGACCGCCTTCGATTTCGAAAACGATATCTTTTTCAGATAAATCCCATCATTCCGTTCACATCTTGGCTGTCTTTTTTTTCCTTCCCTTCATCTCATGATGCCTTTTTCCTGGGCTATGAGCTTTTCTTTCCATTGGAAAATTTGTCCTCACTCCGAGTTCTGAGGATAATATTAGGACCACACCCAGTTTTGCTGGCCATCTTGATCCTTCGTTGCTACAATCAAAATCGGCAAAAATCTACACCGATGTACGAAAAAGAAAGGCCGATAAACACAAAAATGAGCAGGTGCATGACTTGTAGTACTCGGTGGTAAAGAAAGATTTTTTATGAATGGACTTAGCATTAAGGCTGTTGTAAATGGCAAAAGAGCACCAAGCAACAATATGCAAAGTATTGTATAATGTATCGAGATAAATCGTTAATAAAGAAACAGTCCACAAAACCGTTCTGGCCATGTATCCACTTCTGTATTATCTTAGATACTGTCAGAAGGACTTGTGAACACCATTGGTTTGAATATGAACTTGGTCTAACTGCGTAGCCAGCATGCATAAGAGGCAACATATTGGAATGGAGGTGAATGACATTTTTCCATCTTCCACCATTTGAAATAATCAAGTCTAAAATATTGTACAAATAAATCGTTGATTACGATTTTTTTTCTGGCGCTTGACTGTCTTCTTAACCCTTTTTTGTCGGTGGATATATATTCCGATCTTGAAAGAGAGTAGGAACATTATGGATGGGCGCCACACCCTAACCAGCAATGTAGGTGCCCTCCAACCACCTCTATGACAGAAAAGACATAATTAAATGCTACTTGCACCATTAAATCTTTGTAAAAGCAAAACTTCCACAACACCACTGACATTTCCAGGACAATTCCTACATTGGGATCATCTGTAATAGAAAAATTTGGACCACACCCATATTGGCAGCTGTGGTTTCATACACGTAATGTACCCATCTTGTCTTTCTATACCTTACACAGAATTTCTCTACTGATTCTCTACAACACAGCTTACTCAAAATATACAATCAACTTATCTGTTGTTGTATATTCAGGCCTGATTCTGAGCGTAAGGCATGCCGGTTACTACAATTCTCCTGCGAGCTCTTGTCTCCATCACGATATGCCTGGGTCTTATCTTCAGCTTTGATCTCGGTAGGCCTCTTATACCTCCGAGCAGACAAAAAGGAAAGCAGCGCGGGTATAACCGAATACAGCGGGCACCCTATCTGGATCCTTCTCGGGTACTTTCAAAATTTTCCCTTCGCTGTGAAGGCACAAGTGCAGCTGACAAGGACCACACCCAGTTTTTGACACACATTGGCATATCCGTTGGCTTCTTACAAGGGGCAATCCTGGCGGGCCAGCCCTGCATACTGAATTGCTGATCACGTTTTATCGGAAAGGCGTGCCACGCCACATCTGCGACAAAAGAACCACCAAAAAACAGTCGCTTAATGGAAAAAAAATGCTACTTCTTGGTGAAATCTTCCTCTGTGTGACAGTGATCGACAAGGGATGGAAACAAAACACAGGGCAAAGAATATCGGCATGCTTGAAGACAGTTTTCCTATCTTACCTTGCAACCTCTGGAACACACATCCAATCATGGTTTTGTTTATCTTCCTATCCAGACACAGTAAACTGCTATTAAAAGAAAACTTTGGAGGGGCGGCGCGTACAGCATCGATGGCCCGTGCCCATCTCTACAGGTGTGATTTGCCAGGATGCAGATGATTCTAGGGAGGGCCACACCCACTTTTGACCATCCTCTTCTACTGCTCCTCCATTGCGAGAAAAGCCCCGAACTCGCCGAATTTTACCGGATTTCGATAGCAGAGAATCCATTCTAGCGTAACCGCAACAACTGATTGACTGTTGACCTACGGCTTCGTGGGGAAAGTCGCCGAAAAGAAGGAAAGAATCTGCGCCCTCGCCATTGAGGAGACATACGCAGCATCGCATCACTGCAGACGATCTCACTTGCAGGTGGGGCCACAGCTCATGAGGGTTAGACCAATGTCTGAACCTCAACGAAAGCGGGCTGATTAGTTCTAAGACTAGACACAAACACTCTTAAACGCTTTCAGAACCGTTAGATAGTATCATGACGACTTAAACTCACCTGCCGAAGACTTGCCAGAGGAAATTCTGATCTACCTGCGGCTGGCCGTACCCCTGGTGTGCATACGCCATTTTCAAGCTTCTGGGATGGGCTCACGGGTCACAGCACTTAATAATAGGGAATGTTAGGTTTGGGGGTTTGATGCTTAACTTAATATCAATAAAGTAAAGAAAAATTTTGAACATAAAAGAATACGCAGGGACATAGCATTTGGTTTCTGTTAAATTGAGCGTATAACTGTACAATTATTTTTATTTCTACTATGATTTTAAACAGCATCCGAGTGTCGTCATTGACCTAGTAACAACATGGTATAGTCCAACTTGAATAATTAACAGTTCTCGCGAGATGATTGGTTATGAGACTGAACGAGACTTCTTATACAGGAAAATGGCGGCGGATTTTTTGGTTTGACTTTTTGCCGTTCTATCAGTGTTTTCTTGTTGAGCCATTAATCTACGAAAACGTGCCAAAAGCTGACGGTTTGGGAGGACAATGTGACGGCATGCAGGCAGGGTCAGTGCACAAACGTGCGGCGAGCGCTGGTTCGGAAGTGCGGTTGCTCCGAGAGACGGCGTTGCAGCTGAGGAGAGAACTGGTGGAAAGTCGGGCTGAGACGCAGAGAGCGACCGACAGACTGCACACACTTATCGGCCTTGTGAAGAGGTAGGTATGGTCCCAAAGTTCCGCGAAATACCACTGTGGTTGCACAGAACATTCTTGTGGTGATACATTAAGTTTAGATACTTTTTCAGTAACTTTATACATTTAGAGTGTTATAATAATTTTCGCTTATAACTTTACAAAGTTGGATTTTTCTTTTAAAATTAATTTTACAACACAAACTCTAGTTGAAGATATGTCTGTACAGCTACAAGTCGTGATGATATAACCTCCATTATTGTGGTATTTTCAACAATGCCAATGCACCTCATTATCAAAATATTTAAAAGCAATTTGCAAGTTACTAGTAATAGGAATGACCACCTGTGACTGTGACTGTGAACATTGCTTGTTTGAGAGGATTTGAAATTACAGAATCTGGAGTCTGACTGGCTTCCAACTTGCTGAGCTGGCACAATCATCAGATGGCAATCATCAAAAACTTGGCCTTGGTGGTTATCTAGCTGTTGCTAAAGTTTTGGCAACTTCACTTCTTATTCGCTGCAGCTGTGGCGTCGATATGGTTGAGATTGCGCAAACTCGTATTATTAGATTATGACATTCCTGTGATTTGGTCATGTAAGACTGCTCCTGCATATTGCACCAATACTTCTGATGTCGCAAAAGACAAACACCTGATTGTAATGAACCGTGTGTTTAACTCAAGTTAAGAAAACATCACCATAATTCCATTAAATTTAAAACCACAAAGACTAATGATATAACACCGAGGACTAACCTTGTGGTAACACCATGGACTTGATACTAATTATCGAATGTTTGAAAATATGACTTTTCATGGGTGAAAGCTTGTACAGTAATTCCCACTGACTTTTTCCCTTGTTACTGTCAACTGTACGCATTTCACAAAACAAAGGACACCTTGTAAGTTGTAGCCTTTTCAGTGTAAAAAGATATCTGCCAGTATCCTGTTTGTACTGAGAGAGGTTCCTAATCCTTGGAATTTAGCAGGTCATTTGTCTGGCTTAAAGTGTACTATACAATTTACATTTACACAGGGGTTTATGTGAACAATGCCAAGTTTTTGTCATGCTGATAGAACACTCAGCAGGAGTCTATATCGTGTGACCTTGATTGTTGAGATCAGCCAGGAACAAAATCAGTCTGACAAAGGCGACAAAGAAGGTTCTAGTAACTGGAATACTGGTGTAGCGTGCTAAGTACCAGAAGTGAGGTTACGTTGCTGTTGGTACAAAGTTATGGTTTTTGTCAATGTCGGCTGTGAGCGGAAGCATGTTTCCTGTGCATTAGAGCCACAGATGTGAGAACAACCAAGTGTATAGAACAAGCTTACAGACTAATCTGTTATGTAATGGAGACCATGTCCTTGATAAGAACACTTCACAGCTTCTACAGATTTTCCAAATATTTCTCTCTCTGTCTTACACACTAACACAGCACAATATTAAGTATATACTATTAGAACAGTACTTAACTTAAGCAGAGTATTAAAGATTCATCCTCAAATTGAGGTGAATATGACCAAAGACATACAGAAAGGACTGGGCTTGTGATATATACTGAAATCTAATTATTGTCTCCGATCTATTACAGGGCGTGGTCAGGGGATGAAACAGCTGCCGTGCATGTAGCAAATATCGTAGGTAGGTCGTCATATTGTCCTAAAATATCTGGCAGGTGGTCTATTTTTAGACCAACAAAAGTCCACTCGTTAATGGACTCTTCCAATCACAGTCCACTTGTCCGCTCTATGTAAATTGTAAAAACGCTTCCCAAACACGGTATTGATAGACTATATATATTTGAGGTAGCTTTTTTTAACATTACAACAATGTCAGTTCTGTAGGACAAGTTGGCAGTGTTCCATCACTGAAAGTGTAATGCTAGTCTGCAGACAATAGAGACCACTGCAATTATAAGCTTCCATTCTTCTTCTTTACAGGTGTAGCCCCGCCCACCTTTCAACCAGAAACAGCAGGGACAAGAATGTCAGGGGACCAGGCAGACAGGAACACCAGACTCACAGCTCTGCCCAAGGTAAAACACATTTTTCAGTGTACTAAGTGGATTGAGGGTGATGTCCGAGTTTAGTTTCATTGATGACTATTTATAATAAGGCCACACCAAGTAATTTTTATGGATGACATCCTCTGGAGACCCTAAATCTAGATTGAGTGAGAAAACACAGTGTAACACCAACAAGTCTTTCAGTCGTCATGAAAATAGCAATAAATCAGTGGAACAGCAGTTGTTGCTCTGTCCTGTTTCTTTCCTTTCATCACGTCTTCGCTTATTCCACTGATTTTGCAGGCGTGCAGAAATTCTTTGTTCATAGTTAACAGGAAGCAGATTTTCTTGTGTTTTTTTCTGGGAACAGGCCAAAATCAATGCACATGCGGATGTCATCCATTAAAAAATTAGTTGGTGTGGTCTAATTGATGATTACGAGGTAAGATGCAAAAAAAACTCTGAGAAAGATAGGTTTCCGACTTCCAACCAAGGCAGTGACTGCTGTCAAAGACATCAACTTACCAGGTTGGCACCCAGGCTACACTTTAGCATCTCATTACTCTTAATGTACAAACTAGTCTAGGGCATTACTATTGATTGCATTTGTTTGTTGTACCCTTGCTCTCCCGACAGCTATCAGAAATTATGATCATATCCTACATGGAATTCATTGACTTATTTAACTGTTTGTCAATTTATTCTGAAGGACACAAATACATCAACAATACTTCTGTTCATGTAATTAGAACAAGGCTAACATGTTTTCCGCTGTGTATAATGTATTTCATTACAGCCCACTCTACAGGAACTGTGCACTCATACATAATTGTACAATGTTACCCTAGTGGTTTGTAGAAGTTCAGTCGATCACTTTTGTTGCTATGCAGAAACATACCCCAAATTGACAGCAATTCAGGGGTCAATGCCTGAAATAAATGTAATGGTTGCTCTGGGCATATGTCACTTCCCAAGAGAGTCCCCCGTGCGTATATGACACAATCAGCCACAATGCTATATGTACATCTAGAGCCACACCCTAAAAATAAGTCAATAACTCCTGCTGCTCTCCTAATCAAATGTTTGTGTAGCTGATTACACCCTTTATTTTGTGCTTAGGATTATCTTTCTTTGTATGAATATGGTAAATGAAGAGACAGGGAATTCCCGAAGTCAAGAATGACATAATTAATGAACCAAGTGTAATTTACGAATGCTGGTTACTAAGTGCTTTGGTGATGGTTCTATGTGCAGCTACAATACCAGTCACCATTACTGTAGTATACATAGTATTTGGCACACTGAAGTTTGTCTATATACACTGGGTATACCAAATCTAGCCAATCTTAAATTATGCAACAGCCAAATTATACACATGTACCAGATTTTAATTATATATTACTCAATACAAATGTACATATACTTTAAAATCAGTCTAAAGAGCTATCAAGAAATTGCTATGATGTGAACATAAAGTTTGAATTGTTACACACGCCTTGCACACCACATAATACACCCAGAACATATATAACCATCCCAGTAATGACAAGTGCAATGTAAATGAAGTCAATCCAGTCCAGGCACTAAAGAAGTATTGATTTGTTGCTTGCACAATATGGTACCAATTTGTGTTGTAAATGTAGTCAGGGGAACCAGCAGTAATCTAATTAAGTACTCCAAGTTAAAGCAGGGATTAGATACAAGTGTGCCGACACACTGGGATGCTGTGTTGCAGGTGTGGCCAGGAGAGCTAGCACGTTATTTTGAATTCAATTTACTCTAAAAACAAGCACACCATAAACTGTAGTACTGTATTTATAGTCATACATTGTACATAGCTGGGATAGGCCCATTTGTAATTCTGTTCAGAACAGGTTTACACATCTAGCTACAGGCCAACATGTTACATACATGTACTCCATATTCTGAGACTTGTCAGGGGCTAGAGCTGAAGAACAATTAAATTATGCAAATAAAGAACATTAATGAGTACCTGGAATAGCCATGCCTGTAGTAACTGCCATTACAGGACCAGATTGTAAACTAGATGTACTATCCAGCCTGAAATACAACTGTCATTAAACACTGTAGAGATTATATCAACATGTGGACTTTTATATCATTATAGACTAAACTGTGAGAAATTCTGATGCATGTTGTCCCCACAGTCCAGAGCAGTGAATAACTGGGCGTTGCTGACGATCCGTGTGCTGAACAGAGAGTACTGTATGCTGGAGGAGGAGCTGAGACAGCAGCAGCAGCAGTACCTACACAGGAGGGAGATGTTCATGAACGAACAGCTGCAGGACAAGTCAGTCTACATTTGTACCTGCTTCTTTGGGCTGGTCCACTTCTAAGCTTCTGGGAGGGGCGGCTAGGGTAGCCTGGGTGCCATACTATTTGTATGCCAGGGCTCCTATACTCGCTCCGTAAGAAATATTTTTAGGGAGCGATTATGGGTGTGCTAGAATTGTAAATACAGTTCTAGGATCCGATGGCACCCAGTCTAAGGCTGGGGTATACATGTATGTTCCTAGCCCTGCCAGCCAGTACATGTTGCTTCGAAACATGTGACAACCTTGTACATTTAAGGCAAAGGTTACCTCTTAAGTTACATCTGCACAACTTACTTTGACAAACAGTGTTACTCCAATTGAACAGTTTCCAGATGAATGCACCTCGAATCTGAAATAAACATACAAGTAGTAACGTATTAAAGTCCTAAACTTGTAACCAATGATGTCTCAAACACTGACAACTAAAAAAATTGTACAATGGTAACAGTTTAAAAACATGATCTTGTAAATGTAATGATTTTGCTGGCCAGCTGTAAAAGTACATTTTACAGATCACAATTAATCATGTGCTATCTATGATGTAAGCTTACAATATGTCTTTTATATATCGCTATTGCTTCCCTGAATGTCTATTTTCATGTACATTCTAGACTCCATCAATTTCCTGTTTCATTTCCTAAACCATAAGAAACTTGTATAATTCACGTTATAGCAGCCACATTCGTTGTCCTGTATTATGTAACCCATTCATTCTATTAACACTTTGTCAGGTTTGATGAAATGTTGATTCTTAAAAAAGAAATTCCAGTCCATTGTCATGTCCAAACTTTTTCCTTCAGGAAAGATCATGTTCCCTGTTGGCACTTTCCCTGGTCCAGACAACATCCCTCCTGTTTATATCAACCCCTACTTCCTGCATGTCTTGTTGATTAGGTTTCAAGGCACAACAAAGCTTTGACCTTGCCATGCCCTCATGGGGTCTATTGTTCAGCTGGGAGACAGACTTACAGTCCTAAGAAGGCATTTTTGCAGTTACACATGTACTTTTATCATGACAAATAGAGCCATTCTACTATACTACAATGTACATGTTTTCATGTAGCTTCAAAGCAACACAGTTTTGCTTTTCAAAAGAGGAACAGATAGTTTTCTAATATTACTAGTAGTTGAGGCAGCAGTGTTGCTTAACGTGGCATATAGTTTTCTCTCAGCTGCTGGTACCGGTATGTCTGAAGCCAGCATTCCCAGCTGGAAGTTCAAGGCCTACTGCTGGGGAAGGTTGTTGTACCTTTGATAGCTCACTTTATCATGATAACAATAAGCACCATGCTTAGTGTTAATGTCGAATAATGATTGTGATTTGTCAAAATTCACAGCCAGTCCATAGAGTATCAATGGGGAATTTTAATTTATTTGGTACATACTTCTTTGATACAGTACCTGGATGTCCGTATATCTATGAATGAAGTGAAGAAATAAGCCACAAAGTTTACAGACTGAGACTGGCATATTGCTATCTTACAAATGTTTGGCTTCTTACAAATGTACATTTGTACATGGCAAGCTGTGGAAGAACAAATTGTGCACTTGCGGCATGCAGTAGTCAGTAATCCTTGTGTAAAAATGTGAAATGTGAAAAATATTTCTCTCTTTATAGGCCTGATAAAGTCAGATTATCATCAGCTAAGAAGAGACCAACACTGGGAGATGTGGGCAGGCTTGGAACACCATCAGACAAGCTGAACACAGCAACAGCACCTCCTCCTGTTAGTATTGTTCTGTTCTACTTCCTTTTCCTTCAAAAAGAAGAAAATACAACAACAGATCTGGCATGTGAAGGAATTTAGTAACAAGGCTGCACCAATTTAGAGCTTTACTTTTCCTAACCACTGTCTATGTTGCTACCTTGTGGGGGAAAGGTGTAAAAAAAGGTAGTGATATTTCAAATGTAAAGAATTTGTCCAAACTAGTGACTTTTTAATGCTTATCTGCATTTGTATAGCTAATATAAACACACTAGCCTCACAGGCACGCAACGTGGCGGCAGCTAGCTATGTTACACCGAAAAACCTGTTACACCCAGTCTTTGTACACAGGAGTTTCTAGTGATGAAGCCCAACTGTACTTGATGGCAGCAAGTTCCACTCTATGCTGTTCTTGAAAACATTTTATGCTCCAATGAAGGAGAGGACAGCTCTTATAATCTAGTATATTGCAAATGATGTGATTTTTTCCCCTCCCCATAGAGCCCAGACACCACCAAACCTCCCCTCCCCCATGGTCGCTCGCCCTCCCACGGTCACCTGTACAGGCCGGCATCAGGGAAGAAACCAACACTACAGGACGACAGCATCCACTCACTGGTCGACCTGTTCATTGAACCTGCCTACAGTGCCAAGAAAAACAAGGAGGTCAATAGACTGAGGGTACGTAAAAGTAGCATATTATTAGGACATTTTACCATTTTTCATTTATGATAATATTTTATCTTTATTTTTCAACCGTGTGAAGGTGAAACATCATTATGTAAAGCAGCATTCAAGTCTTGTGAATAGGAATTGTTGTATCCTTTTATTATTTACTACACTTTGTATCCATTAGGAAAGAGCAGGAAGTGTTGGTGAAGATTCAGAGAAATATTATCAGAGCTTCTCAGAGAGATACCCCAAGGTAAATACTTTACATTGTTTTGTATTAGAAATATGCAATATTGTATTCAAATGTAGGATTTGTCAAGAATAATTTCTGATATCATGTGTGGTTCAATCAGACTGAACAGAGATTCCTAAATTATTTTTTTATGTACAGGTACATATATTCAATTTTCTACTGTGTAAGGACTCTGAGACAAGTACTTATGTGCTTGTAGTACCAAATACTGCAAACAATGAAAGGTTTCTATGTTTCCCCCAAGTTCAACCCTGCCTAGACATATCACAAATTCTTGTGTGCTGACATTTAGTATTCCCTCCCTGTCACGCAGCAACCAGACTTGTACAGTGCTAATGAAATACTGGAGCAGCGCAAACGGCCAGTCAGTGCCAAGGAGCTGAAAGAAAAAGATGCCATAAGAGCCAGACCCAAGTCTGGAGGTACAGGGAGTGTGTGTTGTAAATACAGTTCTACTCATGTGGAACTGGGCAATGCTTTAACATAACTCGAAGATACAGATCTCTAACGTGTTGCCATGCTTAATTAGGTCCCTGAAGAATATGTATAAATGCACATTGATGACACTTAACCAACATTTGCCATGGTTTCTTGTTTCACACTTTACCACACAGAGTGAGTGTTGATTTTTTGTTTAATTTTATTCTACATATTTTTCAAGTGATACTAAAACTGAAAACAATGAACTTTGCTAAAGGTGTGTTATAAAACCTTGTTGTACTAGTAAACAATTTTTCATATCCGCTCTGCCTGTATTTTGGCTTTAAATTATGTTTTTCCTTACTTTGATATTTTCATGGAATAGCATCTGAAGTGTAACAATTTGTTCTGAAGTGTAACAATTTGTTCTGAAGTGTAACAATTTGTTCTTTTCCCTGTAGTTAAACAGCAGGTCAGGAACAAAAGCGAGGTGCCAGACAAAGCCAGACCCTCCTCAGCCCAGGTCTTCCTGACTCAGAAACGAGAGTCATCCAACCCCGTTCTCACCAAGAACGAACTCAAGGAGAACAAGAAGTCTAACACGGCCAAGCGACCGGTGGTGAAGAAAAGCGAGCAAGCAGAGGCCTTTGCAAAAGAGTTGCAGAGGATGGAGGATATGGAGAGAGAGTTTAAGAAGACGACAAAGATGCTGCAGCAGAGACTTGGTATCTCAGGAGAAGGGGAGGTGTGAGGCTGCTGGGTTTGGTGATCACACCTGTTACACATCAAACCTTTCAGTTTGCAATGGGTGGAGTGTGGAATAGAGGTTTTAGATACAAGATGTCAAAACAAGTTAGTAACAGTTTAAAAAAAATCATGGCCTCACGTTGTAGTGCTTCCAAGCTGTGTGAGGGCAGTTCTCATAAATAATATGTCATCATCTGAAATTTGGTGTTTTATATTTCATTTTGTACCCCAAATTTGCTTTGGTACAACTCGTCTGTTTCATTTCACATTGCAGCAGAGGCACACTGAAAAACTAATGAACTAATTATTCTTCTCATACATTATGCATATTTTTAGTAGGAATCTTGTGCCAGAAAACCTTCTCCAACGAATCTTCTCATACATGATGTGTCTGGGCAGTTTGTATCAAACATTTCTACATCAAATGTGACCACTACACTTTGTGATCAATCCTACTAGTACTACTTGTAAGCTTTTGTAGGCAGCTGACTTTTTTGGTAGTTATTATCAACCGTACTTTTCACAGAAAAAGTACATGTTTGTGATATTCCAGTCTCCCTCAATATATGAAGATAATGGATATCTTTAGTTTTATTTAGTACGTACATAGTTCTAAGGTATTTTTTTGATTGATGTCTTAAGATAATTCCCAGAATTGTCTTTGACAGAGCATAAGCTTAAGATGAATGAGTAATTAATTTTTGTGATATAAGAAGTAGCAGACTCATTTTTGGTGTCATGATAACATTATCAGGATGGAATGATTTGAATGTTTGGATGTTTAGACTTCCACTAGTTGATACTAGTCACTCAATAGGTGGTTTCATGGTAAAAGTGAGTGATGTGATGCTAGGAAAGCAGCAGCACCATTTTTGTTCTTTCAGTATTTCATGAATGGAGAAGTGTAGAGACTTGTAGATTAGAGAAAGATGCTTCAAGAATACCACAGATGACAGTGTGGTGTGTTGGTGAAAGTGCCAATGTTACTTACTAGACATCAGGTCAAACTTTAATATTGCTGAATAAGGCATCCTGTGGCAAATCATATGCATCCAAGCATTTAATGAGGCAATAGAATATTTTTTAACATTTGTAGTTCGCACAAATGTCTTATAATTTTGTTGACAAATGAATTTTTATATTTCAAATTTCTTGGACATGGTGTTACATAATACTATGGCAAACATTCCTTTTCAATTTTCGAAGTGGTTGCAACTTTTGAGACAATAGAAAGAATATAGCAGTGGTCTTCTCTAACAAATTTTGACTTGTAAGAGGTATTTTCATAGCAAATGATAACTTGTAATATTGTCCACAATGGTTGTAGTAACTCACTGCTCATGAAGAAAAGTTGGTCAACATCAAAGATCACATGAGCTGCAGAGCTTGTAGTAGCTGCTAGGTGGCATCATGGAGTGATAGGTACAGATCCTCAGCTTAGCATTCTGCTTTAGTTTTGCCATCTACAAGCATGGTATGTGTATTTACGCAGTAGACAAAGTATACTGCTCGTATATTCGTTCAGGAAGACTTGGTGTTTTCTTTCTAATAGAATTTCTTTGTGCTTCTATCCCAGCTTGTGAAATATGGGAAAGATTTGATTTGAACATATCATTTTTTAAATACTTTTTGCCCAGCACATTGTGTTCTGGGTTTTGTTGATGATGGGGGAGCCTACATTTGACATCTAAAGCTACATTTGACTCCTAAGGCTTTCAGATACATTTTCATTTATCTTTCTATAACCTGTGTGTGCTATTGCTATATCCCTGCACAATATATGCGTGTGAATGAGCATTCTAGGTCTCGGATTTAGCATGGAGGTGCACAATTCAACATAGAGGGGTTGACATTCAGCCTCACAGAATGGTGTTAACTGGTTGTGTATGGTGCACGTGTGCTCGTACTTTGAATGTACAATGACTGTTGTGCTGATTTCTTTTTTGTATGGTTCTACTACATAATTGTAGCATGTTATATTTGTATATATTGTCAATTCAATCTGCTATAGCTCAGTAATTTTATTGTTGCATTCGGTGGTATATGGTGTACAGCTCATTTCATAATTATGAAAGCTCTCCATTTATTTAGTCTGGCAGTGTAACAAATTACATATTGTGTGCAAATATCCCAAGCGGCAAACCAGCCTCCTTACAGCCTGTGTTGTTTGTTCATACATAATAAAAACAACAAACAGCCCGCTTGTTACAATCGTATCAGGTATCCACTTATTTGATTGGTTAGTGTTCGACATTTGTATCTCTGACAACAAATCATAATCACTGTGACTGTCATAATAAATTGATACTACATGGATTACTTAAAATATGATACAATAATGAATAAGGGATTATAAACAGTTTGAAGGCACGCTAACACCATATACATACTCTTGTAACCTACACAATATAACTTGTTGAACGAAAATCACATCAAACATCAATCCATTTACAACTAAAAGTTTGGCTGATGTTATACAACGCTTATTGTATTCACCCAGTTTTCTTACAATACAATGTACCGTGGAGTCGGTCTTCAGCTGTTCTCTTAATCCGTCACATTCAAGTGCATCTCGCTTGCCAACTCTACTTTGGCCAGTATGTCCTGGCTGTTCCCAGAGAGGACCGTAAAAGTGAAGATACCCGGCCCTGGGTAACAGCGTCTCCCCGCCTCTATCCGGAAGACCCTGTCCCCATCCGTACCGTACCGGCGGATGTAGTGGAGGGGCCAGGTGATGGGCGGCGATGACCCCTCCCTGGCCCGTGGTGTCAGGATGATGGCCGGAGTTCCCATGTCCACTTCCAGCTCGCGCGTCCCGCTCAGGCCGAAGGCACGGGAGGCGCTGGTCTCGTTGATGGAAACGATGCATCTGTAACCTGAAACATATTAGCACAGTGGTTTATGTTTAGTCAAGGAACTGGATTAAGTGATTCAAGTTTTGAAGGAATGCGTATACAGGCTTTACTCATTTGTTATTCTATATGCTCGTTTACAAGGTATGTCCATTTACACTTCTATATTATAGGTTTCCATGACCGTTACCTTGCTCTTCCAGCTTGTCGAAAGCAGGTGTCCGGTAAACATGGTAGCAACGCCCTCTTGCGACCGGGTCCATGTCGACATGACGGTAGTCAGCCACTGTATCTCCCGTTCCTCTTCCATCCGTATCGTAGGGCTTCTTTGGTTGAGAGGTCGTCAGGTGGAGAGGGACACCAGGCAACTGTGACAGGAACTCCGAAGAACTCTCTAGATCACTGACTCTAGGAGAACATGAAACAAGCTCCGGAGAACATCCGGACACATCGCTGACTCCAGGAGAACTCCGGAGTGACTCGCTGACTCCAGGAGAACGCGAAGCAAACTCCGGAGAACATCCGGACACATCGCTGACTCCAGAAGAACACTCTGCCCCCTCGCTAGTCAAACGAGACCGCTGGGGGACGTTAACGTACACGTGGTGCTTGGTAACATTTTGGGCTTCTGTGGGAACCCTGGGCGCTGGAATGCTATAGTTCATCGAAGCTGCACCATACACTTGTTCTCTTCCGTATTTCCCAGTACCACTGGGAACGTTAACATACTCAGGCTCCACTGACTTCATTTCAACATATCCTTTCTCACCACTGTGCCTGGCGCCAACCTCAGGGTTCTGAGTCGAGACCATGGGAACATACCCCTTCACGTCGTGTGTTGTGTGGAAATTGTCCGGCAAATCATTCGGTCGCCTTGGATATGAAAACATATAGCCGGCGTCTTCGGCGACTACCCATTTTCGCGGACGGGAGTATCCGTCGGCGTCCATACCACGACCTGTTAAGCAACAAATCAAGGAAGAAACTTCAAACTTTATATGGCGCGTCACATTTTTTCTAAGACACTTTGATAGTAAACGGCCGTCAAAAGCTGTCAAATCTCTGACACCTAGCTGAATACAATGAAAGGAAACAAGATACATACACTTCAAAAGTAAGAAACTGAGACCGATAACGCTGGTGTTTTGAGCTCGAGGTTTCGCTTTCAACTTTCAAGTGAAAATAGACTAATTCAGCTAACTGAGCTATGGGATATGCTACTAGCTAATAGTACTGTATTACATATCCACTAACTGTTACCTTCCGCCATCCTTCAGGCAGGTAAAAAGTGCGGAAACGCAGTCCGATCGTAAAGGAGTGCCCTGGTTGTGCGCTCACACCTGACTACGAGGAAGTCAGTACTGGTGACGTCAGTAAGGGTCAAAGTGAAAGAGCTATTGACTTTGACACCTGATACGCAGCATACGAAATACCTGTAACACAGGTACGTTTTACAGACGCAGGTGTTTGTGTAGACGACGCAGCTTTTCCTTGTCGTTTGTTTGTAGCAAGGGAGGCAAAGGTACAAATAAAAGTATTTGCAATGGAACATTTTCTCGTCCATTTCCTCGGAGAATTGCAGGTTTAAAGCACGAACCGTTTCCAAAATCATATCCAGTTGCTTGAGTAACTGCTTTTGGCGAATTTCCCTATGTATTTTCGAGCCTTCTTGCCGGACAATTGCATTGTTTACCTATCTGACGATTCAAAACGATCTTCCATTTCACCAGGAGGATTCACTATCTGTTAAAAAGTGTTCTTTTTTTTTAACTCTATGTAAGTACATGTACTTAAGTTTAAATTTTCCCGCCATGTGTAGTACTCTGATCACTTCTTGAGAATCAACCTTTGACCTCACTTCCGCAAAGTTAGTTGATGAGGTAATGGCCCGGAACCATAGCGAGGCTACATCCGGGCACTCCCGCGGATAGAGGCAAGATGGCGCCCATCGGCGATAAGTTGGTCATGGGAGCGATGGCTGAGAATTCCGACGAAGACGAAGGCAAAAATTTATGGTAGGGCACTTTCCTTATGGCAGTAGGTTATCAAGACTTTCAGGGAGATAAGGACGCTAACCGCGTGTCGTTGTTTCTCTCCAGGTCCACAATATTGAGTGACGTTTCGACCCAGTCGAGCTCCAAGCTTCCGTCATGCAAAAGCATCATCGTTGCAGGTAGGCGGCTACCGGTGTCACTTTATATCGCTATAGAAATCATACTTTCCCCACTTCGTTCGTCCAAACATTGGTTTTACAATCTTTGTCAAGCACCTGTGTCGTTTGGAAACGCGTTGCGTAACATGTCACCTGTGTTCTGGCTTTAGGCGAAGACGAGTCAGGGAAAACCACTTTGATAGCAAAAATGAGAGGAGACGAAGAACTGAAGAAAGGGGCTGGGCTGGAATACTTCTACTTGGAAGTTCATGACGAAGATAGAGATGGTATGTGCTCTATTTATGTCTAAACCTACCCAGTCGTGACGTTGTCTATTGTGTTTCTCTTACGACTTGTCACAGTGTATTGTATAGAATATTAGAGTGTTAGAAATTCTGACCTATATCAGAAAGCTGGACCTTTGACATTTGTGATATGGCATCAGACATCACCCGAGTTATTTTAATTAGAAGCATGACACACATGGGGTCACCATATTAGATGTATGTTGTACCTGAAAGCACAGACTTGCAAAAAAAAAAAAAAGAATGATAAGAATGATGTTGAGACCATGGTGAAATTAGGGAAGTTGATTTATTGTTTGAAGGCTGTCACCTGATATAAAGGAAGCAGAAGAAGAAATGAAAATGTTAAAAATATTGATAAATAACATAATTTACGTTCTGCTTTTTTTAACCCCTAAACATGAAAAGGGAATGAAAAAAGATTGACATTTTTCCCATAGCATTTAGCAAATGCAACTGTCCTATAATTATAAACAGGCACTGCTGTCAATATGGTACTCAAAGTAGTTAGCCATGAATGTTGACATATCACACTCTTATTCTCATAATTTTTTTTACTCATGATTTATTTTATGGACTCTTTTGTACAGTAATATCAATGGTAAACAACCATATTTTGTGTGTATTTACTTGATGGCTCTTTCTCAAACCAGAATTCACATGGCATTTCATTACCTTTTACAATATATGTGTATTTAAAAAAAACATGTTTATGAAAAATGTGGCAGTAGTGTTAAGATGACATGAGATAATCAGCAAGAAAATAAAGCTTGGCTTAGCAGGAAACATGAACCCTTACATGGTCCACTTGTGGTCATCTTGAAGTGTTAGTACATCTAATCTACTGCCTCTCAAACAAATTAGCCCTCTTGGGACATACCATTAAAATTGAGGGGACAATCGTTTTCTGATCCCAACTCCTTATAAATGTTGTAAGTGCCTCAACTGTATAAAATTTTATATTCCCTGACACATTCTTTTGTTAGATTGAAATAGCCTAACTGTGCCCCACCCATTCTGCATTGGAATAGCCCAAAGATGATGTCCACCCATCTGTCATCATGTTTGTGCATTTGTTTTCACAAGCTGCCAAGTTGTCAATACCTCGTAAAGTCGTTTTCTTTCTGGGTCAGTTTGTTTTGTTATGGATAGAGAAATTGAATAGGAAAGAATACCTTAGATGTGTGGTCTCCTGTAAAAGAAACCATGCTGTTTATTTTCAGGTCCAAGCATATACTAGTAAACTTCAGAAGGGCTGCTAAAATACTATTCTACTGTCCCAATACTGCTGTGGTCCTGTAGCCGTTTGTTGCATTATTACAGGAATATACTGTCACTGTGTCTAATTTTATCATACCTGGTAAACTTACCATACAGCATACACTGTTAGTGTTCTTGCTTGTAGCCAGGGGGTTCGGGGATTCGGAAGAACCCCCCACACGCTCAAACTCAAAGGTCCACCTTTTATCTGAAGGTCCTAGATTTTTCTTTAAAAGGTAGACTGATTGTATCCAGCGGGACTGAAATCCTATTTGTCTCTGGTTTTTCCTTTGAAATCCTCTCAAAAACACAGGAAATGCCATTTCAGAAGGTCTTTCAATTTTCACAATATTCCAGGGAAACATACCCCCCCCCCAAGACCCCCCTAGGAAGCTAGGAAGAACCCCCTAACCAAAATCCTAGCTACAGGCATGTAAGTTACAGGAGGAAGGCTATAAAAGAAGATTTATTGATCTGCTATCATATTGTAAACATGACTCCTGGTCGGGAGTACTTGCTGTGCCAGTGAATTGAATTAGAACTGTACCACTAGGGATAAATATTTCATGGAGTAAGGTCTTCCTGGAAGCCAGTAAAGGTCTTCCTCTCTATCTGTATCAACAAATGATCAATCAAATGTCATGATGTTAGATTTCATCTTTCTATTCAGCCAGACAGCTTGTCAATGTCAGGAAGTGTTCCAGAAATTGATGTCTTCCATTTTTATGCAGATGTACTTGTTAGATCCGGTAAAAAGTATAAAGAGAATAAATATGGTTGGTAATATCATGGAGGTATGTAATGGTAATCCTGAGTAAGAAGAGAGGTGATAAAGCTGAATTAGTACATTATGTACTTGGGTTGACACTCTCCTCTAAGTCTGTTATATCTAAGATTTATTTCTAGATTTCATACAGTACATGTGCACATGTATTTGTCCAAGTGATAAGCAAAGATTCATCACCACATATTTCTTTTGTATCTCATATTTCGACTTCCTTTCTTAGGAATTTGTTAGGAAGCTAGATTTTCAGATTATTGATTACAGCGATGTTTTAACTCAAAATCAGTATCATTCAAAGGGCACTAAATAATTGATAAACTGAAAATGCCTAGCCATGACCAGAATTTGTTTGCTTTTTGTCTGTCTGGCCTGGTGGTTCCAATCAATGTTACTGTTAGGTCCAACTGAGTATAGACATCCTGCCTCTGTACTTGGCTCTGGTAGGGTTATTTCAGTCCATGCACGATCACGTATTACGGTGTATGTATTACAGGTAAACAGATATGTCCCATGGGAGGCGCAGTTCTCTAAATATCACTGTTTATATCCCTCTGTAATCCCTCTAGACATATACCTTTACAAATATCATTGTGATGCAATTGTATATTGATCTGTTTGGAGCATGGACAAAGTCCAAATGTTATACAACAATGTTGCACATTTGAACTGCATGATGTCATTAATGTTCTGCATAGTCCAAAATACAGTTTTGCATGTTTGTTTACACTATAACAATTACAGTATGTTTCACAAGGTAGGCTGATAGCAATGTACAATGTGCTGTGAATGTGTTGATTCTACATCCCAACACAATCAACAGGGCTATATGTAGTGCTCTTTTTAGGGAACTAAAGATGTCAATCAACAATGATTGACAGCTCTGTCTGAATGTTAAACACATGTGTAACATTCCATGCCATGGAACTCTGCCTTGCCTAACAACATTGGATGTTTAGCTATTTGCCAAATTTGGACCAAAAGCAGGTATGGATCCTTGTTGATAAACCATGTGTAGTTACTAGTACTTGACAGCTTCCGCCATGACACAGTTGTATGTAAATAGTTGTGGTAGACTTAGAGAATTGTATTTTTGTTTATCTATATTTTAATTGTAAAAAAAAAATAATAATTGTACTTCTTCCAAAAAGCTAAATATAACATTTTATACTAACATAACAAACATGACAAGCAAACCTAGGATATTGACATTTTATGATTGTCAAGTAAGACCAAACTTAACTTAGGTACATGTATGCCCGTGTGCATGTGCATGTGCATAGTACCAACAGTGCACAGTAGTACTAATCCAGTACTTGCACACTGGTTAGCAAGAATAATAGAATACTATGTATCATGTATTTCTAACATCTATAGTGCTGAATGCTAGCTTCATATTGAGCCAGAAACTTGCATGCACATCTCTTTGACATGTGTTATTAATGTTTATGGTGACAGTTTACAGTGAAACATGTAACCTGAGTGTCATGTCCACGGCTATCATAATCATATATCAAGAAGTTAACCCTCTTACTCTTAGTATGACTGCCCAATCACAAACACCACACTGAGTAGGGTTACTGTTGAGTGCTACAACCCTATGATCATCATATTTTGTCCAATACATCTGTGAAAAGAGGAACCCCCAGGGCACTGACAGTGGCATTTTGAAATAGCTAAGAAAGCTTATGTGACACTTTAACCACAGGGTGTTGAAGTGGTGTCCATTTGGTCGTGAATACACGTTAACAAATCTGCATTCCTGAGTATAACTCTCATGATAATGCTCAATCGCTGACCTGTGCATGGCATGGTATTTGTTGCTTGCAGCCTACACACGATGTGAACACCTGTGTAGAATACACTTAGCTATTGTCCTGATCAGATCTGTATATTTTGTTGTAGTCTATTTATCCCTTTCTCTAATGTCTTAAGATTGTTAGATAATAGTGGTACCTATTGTTGAACTATATGTAAAAAGTTTGCCCAGGGCAAAGGGCGGAGGGTGTTGAACAAATCACCTCCCTCAATGTACAATTGTTACTATGGTCAGAAATAGAAAAGGTGTCTTGTTTTTTTACAGCATTGCTACCCTTAATTGCATTTCACATGGGTGTTTTGAATTTGAAACAGTCTTGAAGCTGGGTTATATAGACCAGAATGGTACATGTTTACTGACTGTAGCTGCAAGGCCAAGACTTGCAAACAAATGTTCACGTTGAATATATGCCAACTATTCTAGCCATGATGTCATCTGTTAGTTCCTCCTTTAGGAGGCCATAGACTATTACTACAACTGTAGGTACACATGCTGGTATAGGTCATACTTAGGCCTAGGAAAAAAGCACATCAGGGTTCTATTTCAGGACATCAAAGAAATAGCTTTACCATGACATGATAGTCTTATAATGGTACATTATAAAATGTTCATAGCTTTCCACTGCAAATATAATTTTCCTGCCATTGCCCCAGTGTCCAACCCAATTCCAGCGTGGTAATTTGATTAACATTCATGTCACATGCTCAACGTATTGGTGGTAGTACATGTAAGGCTCCTTGAATTCTGCGTCCCAGTTAACATTGTATTCTGTGTGCAATTTTAGAAAAATAAAGCTACAGTATAACTAGAAGATACATTTGTTAGAAGAGATACATGTATAAGTACAGGATTTTAGAAAATATTCCTGTTGTATGGCGGTAGGTGCAAATACTATCCAGGATGACAAATTATCTGTTTACTGTAATATTTCTCAAAGAAACATACATGCCATATGGTACTTGTTAAAAGGATTTCTCTCGTCACATTTCAAGGATCGTCAGTCTGGCTTATTTGCATGTGCTTCATAGTGCCTAGAGACGTCACCTAAATTGGACTGATCATGTGGTTATTAGACGTGTTTTCCTTTGGGACCCGATGATATGAATGCTATTGACGTCATTCTCTACATGATGCCATTGTTACAACCTCCTATGTTGTGCTGGTACATTCACAAAATGTATGCTAGTGTTCTTCAACAGGCAATGTGGCTTTTGTGATTTTTAAATATTAATGGGCGTATTGAAACTGGTTACAGATGTTAGTGTTGATAGTTAGGAAGAACAGCGTGATTGACCTAACAAAATAGAAGATATGTCTCTGAATACAAGTACCTCCATAAAGACCTTTTTATGTGTTTGTAAATTCGTATTAAAACAATCAATGTACAAACATAGAATAGTTATATAATACCAAATAGCTACTAGTACGACACCACTGTCAATTTCAATAAACTGCTTTGATAGAGAAAACAATGTTTAGACTTACATGTTAAAGGGCAGAAGCCACTCCAAGACGACTTAGTTTTATTGTATGTGCCTATGGTATTATTAATCAGAAACTCTGTTCGTTTACGGAATATTTACGCGGTTCGCCCATTTTATACACCATTTGAACGCCCCGCCACTAGAAAATCTATTCCCCGCTCGACTAGCTTCCGGTTACGCAAGCAACCGGAAATGACGCATCACGAGGGAACATGATCCAGCTTGTTTCAGCCTGAACGCTTGGCAGCCATATTTGTTTTGCTTGTTTGCACGCTTGGCCGAAAGTTTGTACAATCGTAGAGGTATAGAAAGGACAGGAGAACGTTTGGTAAACGCAGTTATCTGGGGGTGTGTTTGTCAACATGCCTAACCAGTGTGTGGCAGCGAACTGCACGAACAAGAGGGCGGATGGCTTTAGCCTTTTCCAGATGCCATCGGACGAAAATCTGCGGGCGAAGTGGATTCAGCAAATTCGCCGTACAAGATCTGGCCCGAACGGAAAGCTGTGGAACCCAACCAAGAACTCGTTTTTGTGCTGTGCACACTTCACAGAGGACTGCTTCAACCCTGTCTCAAAGTTGAAGCAACAGTTCGGGATTGAGATGAAACAACACAAGAAGTTCTTGTTGCCCGGGGCTGTTCCAAGTATATTTCCCCGTGCCCGAGGCACAGAGTCAGAGGCGAGCACGGCACAGCCTAAAAAGCGCAGGAAATCCGGTGCAGTTGAGAAAAGGCGCAGAATTGAGGTGGGTTTTTAGGATTTTTATGTTATGAGCACTAGAGTCGTTGTTGTAGAATTCAAATGCGTTTATGGTGTCATTTCTGTACGATAAATTGTCGTCTGAGTGGGATAATTTGTCAGTAGCGAACATTCATAATTTCATTTCCCGCATGGAATGTTTCGCTAGGCTGCTAACACGGGGACTCTTTCAAAACAAAATGTTTCACGACAAATAATGTTAGTTACTCAAACACTGACGTCTTCTACGAAAGACACTATAAAGTAGTCAAATTTCGGAGCAGGTAAGTCGGGAAAAATGTTCATAAATATGATAAATGGCGGCTGGGACATGTGTATACATGTATGTGGGGAGGGGGGCGCGGAAATGCAAAGATGAAGTTCGTGCGTTTTTGCTTAGCTATGCCGTGGCAGTCGACAACATAACAGTAGTGATTTTTTTTTTACATGCATGATTTTCTTCCCATGTTGTGTCGAGAATTTTGGAATGAAAATAAAATGCTTGGCATTAGGAGAAGAAGAAGAATTATGGAAAATGCAGGGCACCAGATCTGGCTAAGTTCCTATGCTTGTCACTTGCTAAGGTAGGGGTAGATATAGTAGTTACAATGTTCAGTAGTTTCTCCATTTTTTTCCAAAAATTGTTAAGTCTTTTGCATTGAAAGAACATATGTTTTTCGTCTTCTATTTCTGAACATATTTTACATAGAGGTGACCTTATTAATTTCCATTTAAAGAGATTTTGATTATTAGGAAGGATTTTATGCAGAAATTTGTACATAAAGTTTGACAATTTTCTTTCCGTGGTTACACCAAGAGTTCTTTCCTTCCATGGAACCTTCAGATTTTTTTTTACATGCATGATTTTCTTCCCATGTTGTGTCGAGAATTTTGGAATGAAAATAAAATGCTTGGCATTAGGAGAAGAAGAAGAATTATGGAAAATGCAGGGCACCAGATCTGGCTAAGTTCCTATGCTTGTCACTTGCTAAGGTAGGGGTAGATATACAAGAATAAATCATGATTATATTGTTGAGACTGTAAGGCCGTATTTATTTGATTATATTGAACACCAAAATATATGAGCGTGTAAATAAAAAAAAATTGTATATAAATGCTATGACGTCAGCACATGGGTACAGTAGATATTGATTTATGCTGTCTTTCTTACATATACCAGATACTTGGGGAATGTATGAATCAGCACCAAGAGTCTTCTGCTGATACAGAAGAGAGGGGAGATGGTGCAGGCTCTCTTGAAGAAAGTGATGGTGGCGTGCCTGTTGATGTAAGTGTTGACATCTATCACATGTATCAGTTATCAACAATCTATTGCATTTTCTCTTTTGTAATTGATCATAGGAATTTATACCGATGTACTACTTGTGTGTACATTTGTAGGTAAACCCAACAGAATTGCAGAATTCCTGTGACAGTGGGGTGCAGGTGTCCCTGAGGCCGCCACGCAAGCATAAGGGCATACAGTTCAAAGGATCTGGACGGACTAAAGGTATTTTATGCTAATACTATAGTTTTTAGTTGCCAAGTCATTGTCAAAAGTTTCTTTTGGTAAAACAAATATGGGACACCCATCTTTTTTAAAATCTAATATTATGTTCCTACATCATTGACGATAAGCATAAATGTGTCATTATTTCATTACTACAATTTTCAATTTACAATTTTATCATTGCTTTACTGCAGGTGTGCAGTGCAGACCCACAACTGTCACAGTGGCCACACAAACTAATGAGGATGCGGAGGATAAGGATGCGGAGGATAAGGATGAGGAGGATAAGATGTCTGTGAGTAGTGCGAGCTCATGGGAGGACCAGGTAGCAGTGATCGCCGATGACCCTGACTACTACCCGTCCTCTGCCGAAGAGTCCGATTCTGAGGACGAAGTTGCCCAGCCACCGCAGGAAGACCAGCCCCCGCAGGACGACCAGCCACCGCGACCAGACCGCCGCGTTTTCTTGTGTGTTCTGGGTCTGCCTAGTCCAGCTGATCACAACATGGGGCAGCTGCCCTTCATGTTCATCACGGGACCTTCAAGTCGAGCACAAAGTGGTGGGAACTCTGTTACGAATCACACTCAAGTGCAATCAGGACGGGTGCGGTCACCATGGAAAATGGGACAGCCAGCCATTCTTTGGAAGAACTGCAGCCGGCAACATTTTGTTGTCGGCTGCAATTTTGTTCAGCGGTGCGACTGCAACCAAAGTCATCCGTGTTCTCAGTCACATGGGCGTAGCCGTAATCTCTGTCAGGTCTTTCATTCGGCACCAGAGTCAAGTGCTGTTCAAGGTAGTGCAGCAACTGTGGGCTGAGCAGCAACTCACCATGTTAAACGTCCTGAGTGCAGAGGGAGAACCCATTGTTTGCGGTGGCGATGGCAGGGCTGACACTCCAGGGCACTGTGCAAAATACGGCACTTACACGTTGCTGGAGTTGCGGAAGACAGCTGTCCTTGATGTGCAACTTGTGCAGGTACATGTTGCATGTACAGAGTAATAGATCCTCCTTCTTTGTTTTATGTCCTTTGCCTTGTGCTCGCCTGACTGATGAGTGCTAGTTGGGGATCATAAATTACTCACCTGGCTATTTCTTTTTTTTTTTTAGAGCAACGAAGTACGGGGGGAGGCTACCACATGGAGTTAGAGGGGTTGCGGCGGTCCCTGGACAAGTTGGAGGATCGTGTGGATGTCGGCTCACTGGTCACTGACCGCCATGTCGGCATTAATAAGATGGTGCGAGAGGACTACCCCCACATCAAACACTTCTTCGACATATGGCATGTTGCCAAAGGTAAGTACAACTTCTAGTATGTTTATTGCTTCACATATGAGACATGAATGTTGAAAATATTAGGTTTTGATACAGGTTTGTTGCCTTTTTTGTATGTGTGTGTGGGGGGTTATGAAATCCTTGTGTGTTGGGGAAAGGATTTGTTCATAATTTTTTTGCCTGCCCAAGGTACTAAGCCCATTTCATTGTAAAGATATTCAATATGTAATTAATTCATTTATATACATTTCTGTTAATTCAGGTGTCAAGAAGAAGTTGCAGAACCTCAGCAAATTGAAGGATTGCCAAGCGCTGAAACCCTGGGTTTCCAGTATTGTAAACCACCTGTACTGGTCGGTAGTGTCCACTCCCAGAGGAAGCGAAGACATGATTGAGGACAAGTGGCGATCTGTTCACGACCATACACACAACATCCACGAGGGATTTGAGGGGCAGTTCCCTGAGTGTGCCCATGGCCCACTTGAGGGAAGGGAACAGCAGAAGCAATGGTTAACTCTGAGTAAGTATACTTGAAACTTAGAAGAGTCATCACTTCGCAAAAATTGTCTTTGGCTATTCTATTTGTTATCTCCAATATTCTTTTGCAAGTTTTGTACATTTTGATTGGAACTGGCCAACGGAAAATTTTTCTTATACCCGTTCTTCAGATACAAAGCTGTCTAGCGAGATGGAGAAGATCATCACCAGCCGGCATCTCTGCAAGGACCTACATCGCCTTTCTCCTGACTACCAGACATCCTATCTGGAGGCGTTTCACGCCCTCATCCTCCACTTCGCCCCAAAGATGTTCCACTTTTCGTACCAGGGAATGCAGTGCAGGTAATCATGTCTTATATTGTTGGGACTATGCATCCCGTGTATGCCCATGTCAAACTGGGGTCTTTTGTGCCACCTTTAGAATTATTGTTATAGCGTAATACCCTGTTTGCTTTTTGTTTAGGAGTAATCACCCTGTATGTGCTCCCTTTTCTTTTCAGGACAATCCTCGCCGCCATGCATTTTAACGAAAATGCCAACAGGGCACAGAGCAAGAGAAGGGATGGTGAGGACATGTACACCCTTCACTACCCGAAGTACAAGAAAGGCGGTTACATCGTACGAAAGGTTTTGAAGAAGTCAACTTTCGGTATGTTTACTTCTACTGCACCTAGCTTTGCCTCTTATTTGGCTCATCAAATACCTTGAGAAACCCTCTGTGTAGAAGGCTGCCTGCATGTAGTAACATTCTCCTCTCACTAGGTATTTTCTCTTGTCACAACAATCGCCCAGTCTCAGGTCAATTGACATGTATGTTCTGATATTTTTACCAACTAATATTATTGATGCTGTTGTGAGAGACCAGCTCATTTCTGGTTCTATTTGCATAACAGGTTATGCCATGCAGTTGATGGACCGTGTGGAGGCGATGTGCTCCGGGATCAACTATGAGGGCGACATCCTGGAAGACCTGGAGCTAGCTGCTGCACCTGTGCCCCCGCCCCTCAATGCTGACTTTGAGAAGCCGGACAAGCAGACAGCAGTCAGGGAGAAGGTCGGCAGGTTTAACCGCTAGAGAATCCTGACTGTAGCAACAGGGGACACTTTCTGCCACACAGTATAGTTGATTGTACAATGTAAGTTTGAGAAGTAAAGTTGACTGATATTGTTGCCAATCCCAAGAAGGGATACTATCTACCTCTTACAAAATGTAGTTGATTCCGTGGGTTGTCATATGCAACACTGCAACATTTATTAGTCCCAACATTTATTAGTCCCAACAGGGGACACTTTTCTGCCACATAGTATAGTTGATTGTACAAAGTTCTGAGTTTGAGAAGTAAAGTTGACTGATATTGTTGCTAATCCCAAGAAGGGATACTATCTACCTCTTACAAAATGTAGTTGATTCCACGGGTTGCCATACGTAACACAGTGCAACATTTATTAGTCCCAACAGGGGACTTTCTGACACATAGTATAGTTGATTGTACAAAGTTCTGAGTTTGAGAAGTAAAGTTGACTGATATTGTTGCTAATCCCAAGAAGGGATACTATCTACCTCTTACAAAATGTAGTTGATTCCATTGGTTGTCATACGTAACACAGTGCAACATTTATTAGTCCCAACAGGGGACACTTTCTGCCACATAGTATAGTTGATTGTACAAAGTTCTGAGTTTGAGAAGTAAAGTTGACTGATATTGTTGCTAATCCCAAGAAGGGATACTATCTACCTCTTACAAAATGTAGTTGATTCCATTGGTTGTCATACGTAACACAGTGCAACATTTATTAGTCCCAACAGGGGACTTTCTGACACATATCATTGTCGATTGTAGTTTTTACATATTACGAAGTTCTTAGCTAGAGAATAAAGTTTCTACCAACTACACTATCAAAGGTAAAGTAGGTAGGCTTAGCACAAGTTCAGCAGAAGACATCTCTAGTCGTCAGCTTCCCGGAAGCCTGTGTAGTCTGGAGACGGGAAGTGGTTTCTTATAGCAGCCACAGTGCAAGAGGGCAGAGTAACCCGGTTCTTCTTTCCAAGGAACTCGTAGCACCAGCGCACAAACTGTCGGTACGCAGTGTACCGCTTCCAGCTGAAAAAGATTATGTATTGGTATTATGGTACTTAGATAAATTTACCCTTTCTTTCAAATCTAGTCCACAAGCAATACAAGTGATCATAATAGATAACTATCATGTTACAATTGCAGAAATCTTTTTTTGTTGGTTTGGCTGAAACATACAATGATACATGTAACACATGAAATCTAGGATTGCCCATCTAGCTTATTGTTATAATTTTTGGCAAAGGCTAACCTTATCAAGTTATCATGATTAGTATTTCTTGTGTATTATTTTCATACTCACTCGTTTCCAAAGGTCACCCCGTAATGATCCCGATAAGCAAAGTATGCTGTTTCTAGTACGTCCACGGCTAGGCAGACTTGGGGAAATCCGTGGTGTTGGGTAATGCAGTCAATGCCGGGCTCCCTCTCCCTTCGCTCACAAACACGCATCTGCTCCCGGCAGCACACATTCTCCTTCACCTTTCGGTGGTCAATGCAGTTCCCACAAGTACACCTAGAAGACCAAACCCCAATAAGGAATTAAAAATTGTCATACGATTTGTAAAAATGTGATAAGAATTAGTTGTGAGCACAGCGTTTGTCTAAACAAACGCTGGCGGTGACTTCTGAAGGTCAGGGGTCGCACTAATCATCCACACGTATCGCCATGTTCCACTTGTTTTGGCGATCTTTCAAGACAATTTCCGCTCTACTTTCTTATTCTTTCATGGAGGTAACGAAAAAAAAACACAGATTAAAGAAATGGCTGCCTCCGGGGACGACAAAGACCAGAAGTAATGACGCTAATCCGCAGAAAGAAGGTACGGTACCGCGAGGTTAGAAAAACAACACAGGCCGCGGGGCGAACCCAAGGTCGCAAAATCGTAATATTTTATACTACAAGTACGTCTCACCATAGCGAGTAAATCTATATCCCTATCACAGAAACCTAACAGCAAAATTATCTAAGCCTCACTTACCAGTCCATGTTCTGCAGTCGGCTTTCGCTATCGAGCGGAATTTGTCCGTCGATTTCAAGTTCCCCGCCATCAGCCATGGCGTCACCAGCGGCCTCACCTTCATCGTCGCTGTCAGAATTCGGCTCGTCTGACTGCACGTCAGAGAGATATGGCTCAAATCTGTAGGGCATGAGAACTCCTACGACCTCCTCCGAATCTGAGTCCGACTCAAATTCCTCACAGATACATTCTACGGTAGACGAGCAGTCAGAAAAAGTCTCAACTTCGTCAGCGTCCATGGTCGGTGTTGCCATTGTTAAAACAAACAGACAATTGGCAGATAGCGGGTGCGTCCCTTGTGTTACGTCACGGCATCACGTGACGGCTTCTGGAATGGGGCTACTACGCCGGGGTCGCGGCTTTCCAAAAACGACACTTTGAGAAGCTGTATAAACTTTATTTCTCGGTAAAAGTGACTACAAACACTTTTAACTTACTGTACTATATGTATATTTTTGATATCTATGCCTATTTCAGGTACTTTTTGAGGTGGCTTCTGCCCTTTAAAGGATTAGGTGTAACAAGTCGTTAGGTGTAATTTAGCCAGCTGCTGCCACGCCGCGTGCCTGCAAAGCTGGTGTGTTATATTGAAGGGCGGTTATACCGGCTATACAGATAAATGTCTGTCTTTTATATATATATATCCCTGTAGATGTATCTGTTCAACACTGTTATACTTTCTTGTTTTCCTGTAGACCACACAAGATGCGGTGTGTGGGTGATGGACGGAGACTCCCACCACAGGGGCTTGTTGCGGTTTGCCTTGTCAGCAGAAAATATAGAGCACACGTTAGTCATGCTGGTCGTGGACATGTCTCGACCATGGACCATCCTGGAGTCCCTACAGAAATGGGCAGACATCATTCACCACCACATCGATAGGTTGAAAGTCCCTCCTGAGAAGATGAAAGAATTAGAAGAGCAGTGTGAGTATGGAGGATATATCAGTTACTAGGGTAACATTGCTTTTACTGATATCCTTGGATGTGACATTTTCAATGCATATCTTGTAGAAATGCTCATAACATTTTGGCCCAATCAGTTGAAGGAAGGCCCTTCTCTTCAGTTGTTACAGTTTTTCCATCTATCAATACAGTGGTTTGATCGAAAGTTTGAAATTCATTGTTTGACTTGAATTACAAACCAGCCTGGTATGTTGAGTTCATGGCTCATATCATAGCATATGGGGCTATCATAGGATGCCTAGGTCTGTTTTTACTTATCTTTTTTTTTTTGCTCTGTCACTTAATGATCATTCTCTGTGCATGAAATTTTCTTTACCTGTGTGTTTTTTTGCTGGTGCATGTCCCCAGTGGTCAGACAGTACCAGGAATATGTAGAACCTGAGGAAGGTGCCCAGTCCCCACAGCGGCCCAAAGCCATGACACCAGGAGCAGGAGACGAGGAGACCGTGGTGTTGCCTCTCGGGGAGGACGTACTGACACACAACCTAGGAGTGCCTGTGGTAGTAGTTGTAACAAAGGTAGGTCTACTAAGCACGTCAGCAGAACGTACGCAAAACCCGTAGTGTATTGTGCACTTCAGCTGAATGTCTTATAGAACTAATTATAAGGTCGTAATCGAGTATACATGTATATGGTTATGCAATAGACCATACTAAAGCTACTATTGTAGTCCTCTGCCCTATAGCTCTTTTATGGCAAATTACAGAGGAACCACTTTACCATATCTCCTGACTATTCTTCCTGATCAATGTATATGTCCTACCCAAGTCTGTGTGTTGATATCTATTTTGTTTTTAATCAGACGGACGCCATCAGTACCCTGGAGAAGGAGCATGACTATCGAGAGGAACACCTGGACTTCATCCAGCAGCACATACGCAAGTTCTGCCTAAGATGTATCCTTCACACATCTATGTTACTGGGAGAACTTCATTTTAGATGTTAGAACATAATCTCATAATCTGTAAACCATTTTGAGCTTACATTTATACCTCTGCCAGCTCCTTAGAGGGATTCTGAGGCTTGGATAAGGGAAGGTGATACCATTTACATGTACATTCTTATGGTATGTTTATGCATGAGCAATATTATATAACTTTGTAAGTTATCCCTATAGTACACCAACTTTAGTATGCCATCCCTGGATCCAGGGATGGCATAATGCGTGCGCTGTACGTTTGATCAGAAAATAAGAGCCCCCCCCCCAAAAAAAAAAATATGAGTGTGTTTTCTTCTGTTAGAATCCCTTGACTTAACCCCCCTCCCAGACGGAGCAGCACTATTCTACACATGTGTCAAGGAAGACAAGAACATCCAGCTGTTAACCAAGTACCTGGAACATAGGTTATATGACTTTCCCTTCCACACACCCCCACTGGTGGTGGAGAAGGATGCCATTTTCATGTGAGTACCAAATTTAGAATTTGAAAACGCATACCCTTGCATTTGAGGGAAAATATTGTTGCATAAATTGGTGATTTACTTCTTATTTCAACTAAGGCCACATCAAGTAACTTTTATAATGATGTCCTCTGAAGACCCTGAATCTAATGCAAGAACGCAAAAAAAAAAAGACGGGCCAAAAAAATCAAAATGCCTAGATTTGATAAACACTAAGAGATGACAAATGTTAGGACACAAATTGAATGAGAGAATACAGTGTAGCAACCAACAAAGTCTTTTATTCATCATGAAAACAGCAGTAAATCAGTGGAACAGCAGTTGTTGTCCTGTCCTATTTCTTGTCATACATAAAAATTACTAGGTGTGGCCTTACCTTTTTTCCCATCCTGATCCTTCCTGCCTTGCACCTGGCTAATGTTCTTGTTGTCTCTGTCGTTGTCTCCAGTCCATCGGGATGGGACAACCACAACAAGATCAGCATCCTGTACGAGAACCTGCACAACATGAAAGCCGAGGACGCCTTCAATGACTACATCGCAAAGCCCATCATCAGGAAGGTTTGTTTGTTTCTATGAGCTTTGTACATACAAACAAACTATTTTATTAATAAATGTTTGTACTCAGTGTTCACAGGCGTTATAATCGGCGGCTTTAAGGTTGCCAGCAACATACTAAAGATTGATATGCAGAAATGGACTGTAATTGTATTAGATAGTTTGTAGATTTGATTTGGCACCATGCTCTAAATGTTTGCCATATGTAAATGTTGTGCTTCCGAATAGGTTGTAAACCCTTACTGTGTACAAATAGGTAAATATATCAAAGAATGTGTAAACCTTAGAACAAGTAGTATAAGTTGATTCATCTATATTCTCAACTCAATTATAGTGTTGTATGTATTTCAATTCCTTTTTACCTAGTTGTCTGTATGACCAGTTATGGACTTATGAAAGTCACTGTACTTTTGTCGACTGTCAGTGAAGTTCTTCACTAAAACACAGACACTGACTTTGTTTGCGTAGTCTGTTGGAGAAGCCAGAGAGGTGATCGCCGATGACGAGCAAGCGTTCCTGATGAAACAACAGGCCGTCCTGTCCAAGGCGCTGCCAGCAGGGGCACAGAGAGACTCGCCACAGCGATCACCCATGGGGGTCCAGCGTACACCCGAGAGAAGAGTGGGCGCAAATGTCGCCAGTGTTTCACCCATCCCGGCTGGTGGGAAGAAGGTGAGATGCTGTTGTATCCAGATTTTACACAGGAGTTTGATTTTGATTTTATTTATTTGCACACTCGCTCACTCATTATCAGGTTTGTCGTCTGTTGTTCCTCGTGATTCAGGGGTTAGACGTGCTGAGGCTTGATGGCAGTCTGCCATTTGCCTCTGTCCTGTGGGATGATGTTATGAAGGTTTAGGTAGTGGAAGTCCTCTCTTGTGTTGTCCATCCATCTCTTCACACATGCATAATAAAAGCAAGTTTATAAAACATAATACAACAGAAAAGTAAACGTGCAGGGTTGGAGAAAAAGCCATAATGGCTTGTTTGATATCTCCCCCCATCATGATCTTACATGAGTTCAAAGTGTACAAATGGTTGTTGGTGTAAATCGTACAATTTAAATCAAACATTTGGTCCCTTCTCAAACACTGTACTAACCCTGACTATGTTACTCCTGCTACAGTTGGAGGGAGCTAAGGGTGCAGCCGGAGCCAGTGAGGGAGTGCTGGCTAATTTCTTCAACAGCCTGCTGAGTAAGAAGACCGGTGGTGGTAGTCCGGGGGCACCAGGCACCCCGCCAGGCAAGAGTCCAGGTACATGTAACACCGACAGGACAGCTTTTCTTCTTACAGACAAATGAGACATCCAATCAGTGGCAACATTTCATGTGAAGAAAAACATTGGCACATTATTAGAATCCTGACAAGTATGATATCATATCAAATGAAAGCCTTCACGTTCTGTTACTGCAGCCCTTTTACATGACAGGTTTAACAGTTCTCAAAAGAGTGAAACAAATGGTACTCAAGATTTCTTTTTTAATTTACCAATTGTTGCATCTTAATGTCTGTCACATGCATCATATTCATTTTGTTGTACGTGTGTACATCACAATTGATGTGTTCTCACTATGGCTTTGTTGTGATTTACAGTTGGTCCTGCAGAGAAGGCAGTAAGGAGTGATGCAGCGGCAGAGTTAGATCGGCTGACACGGGGAACGAGAAAGCCTGTTCAAGGGCAGAACCCACAGAGTAGCAGCGCATCCTGAGTTGGGAAGCAACAAGTGTGCATTCAACGCATCTTGACTGTAGAAATCTACCATTGCTATGCTAAGAGACAAAAAAATGAATATGATTATGTACCATTATTATTGCAGTAGACTTTAACAAAGGCTCTGTCATCTTCATGTGGTTTTTGTAAACATACAATTATTCTAACAAGAAAATATTAACAAGAGTCTATTCCAAATGTATTAGTATGTAAACCATTTTGCCCTGGACTGCAAGTAAAACAAAAGAATCTGTGATACAATTTGCTGTTTTTTTTTTGTGTTGGGCCATGGGAATGGCTGTCTCTTAAGGCAATTGTTCTTGTGCTTCTTCTGTAAACATGGTGGAAATTTGGTAGTTCGAGGTAAGTTGTCACAATTGTATTTTAAATTATTTTGCAGGCTATTGGATTCCACCATGACAGCACAAGTAGCTCCTACAGAAGTAAAAAATACAAATTAAAGTAAAAAAAAAAAGAATATTTGTTATTTAGATCTTTAAAAAGGACTTCTCTTGAATGAAACGTGTGTTCTTTCTACCTGCAACTGTAATGTTTTAGTTTCTAGGACCGAATCATGGCTTGGTTCAGGGATGTACTAGTACTTTTGTATTTGTCGGCCACAATGAATTAAATTGCCACCATTTGCACACTTACACAAGTATAGACATAGGGGCTTCCTCTTGGTTGTCAAAAGCACTGTTTAAAAAATGATGCTATTGGCAGCAGTTGTTCAAATCTACAAGGCACCATCAAAATGTAACCCTTGATTTTTTTAAAAGCTTTTGCTGCTTTGAGTTAATTAAATCCACTAATGGCATCAGTCAGAGTCAGCAGCCACCGAAAGGCTATGTATATTCTGTAGGACATTTACATTCTTGATAAATGTGTGTGAATACTGACTTTGATATGCACCGGCTTCCTGGTATTTTGTATAACAGCTTACAGTAATTTTATGTTAGACTCATGCAGTTAAAACCTTTTTTTCTGCCTACCAAAGAAAGGCAGCTCATAGTTGCCTTTTGAGGAATGCAGGTAGTACTGCATTAGGGAGGCATGAGTCTTTATTTGGGACTTAGTCATGAAGCTTTATGAAGAAAAGATGCATCCTTGGTATTGAATGACATTGAATTGTCATTAAATTAGATCCCTTTCCTTTAAGTATTGACTTTAGAAAATTAATATGAATATAACAGGCCTCTTCTGCATACCATGCTAAAAGTTATGTTCTACCTTCCCTTGCTTTTGCTGTATCCATTGAGATCTTGGTACACTATGGAGCTCAGAGGGACATTTATTTACGAGAACGATTTCAGCGAGAGTACAGAAAATGCATTGATTTTTTTGCGTTGTTTTCTTCGGAGCCTTTTCGTGATTCCAATGGTCTGAATCACTTGTCGCAATTTCAAAGCGATTTTCTTAATTTCCCAGTTGGAACAGTTTTGAATAGCCATACTTATTAGTTTTGTGATATTTTCATAGTTAGAGGTAGCAAAACATGGCACACTGCAAGCTGGGAAGAAATGTATGCATAGTTAAGAGTGGTGCGTATCCATGTGCATGGCACTGTGTTGAGATACTCTTAAGTTTGTGAGGCAGAAAGTCATGTAACTGGATATAACCATAGTTTGATACGTTTGTGAGTGCCTACCATTTTAATTACTGGTACATAGTCTATAATCTTACAACCTAGCACGTTTGCAATTATTGTGCTGGAAAGGGGAAAAAAAGAAAGATCTGTGTTTTGCCTTCTGTTAAGCAGGTACGTGTGCAAATATAACTCCAATTTGTAATATAATCTGTAGTAATGTCATGTTGGGAAATGAATTGCTTGCTGACTTATTATTACAAACTAGCCATTGTTTTTGGTCTGGTCAATGTGTTGCTTTCAAGAATGGGAAACTGATACGGTAACCAATATATATACATGCACCATTGGGGCATACATCCAATGTCAACAAACAAAATTTTGTCAGGATTAGTGAAGAGAGACTTTGATATGAGCTGTAATGATTGTAAGATCGTTATAAAGTGTAGTTTGATTTACCGTGTATCTTGTTACTTTTTGAAGTATGCGAGTTTAGGGGTAGACATTGGGCAGTGCTGACGGCGGATTTGTACATGAATTATGGTAATCCATGTTTTGCAGGGCACCGTTTTACAGACTGTGGTCCCGTGGTGAGTGAAACTAGAGAGAAATTAAAATTCATGGAAAGCATGTCATTTTTGGTTTGTCATACTTCTAATTAATGACTCATTTATCTATATCACATACATCCCACTTGCTCATTAGTCTGATCAACAAAGATATTATTGTGTCTTTAATAGCAGTTTGTGTAACAATATTAAAATCAGTTTGAGTCAGTATGCAACCATGCACTTGACATATATTTGTATGATACGGTACACATTGTTTACACTTACATGTCAGTATTTTAATGTTAAATGTATGCATACAGTAGTAAATCCATACACATCCATCTCATCTTAGACAACACCAGTAAAATGACTTCAGTTCCATATATTTTCTCTAATTCCATTGTCCTTACATCAATACATGCGAGATACTGAATACTGAAATAGAACTCTTTTACAAATTACTGCTACTTTTACAAATTTGGAGACATCAACTGTACAGCCCTCCTTTCTAAAGAAGAACATGGTGTGAAAACTGGTCTAGTCTCCGTCCTGTCGTTTCCTCTTCCTGTAGTTAGTGACCATGGTGGAGGGAACGATCTTGGCGCTCTGTCCGCTCTGCCAGCACTGGAACGCCGTCAGCCCCTCCTGTCCCACGCGGAACAACACACGCTCCAGCTCGTCCAGTTTCCCCGTCACCGCCGTCGTGTCCTCATTCAGACAGTTCTGCGCCGAGTCCATGATTCGCCGGAACCTGGTGCTGAAAGTCTGCGGGGAAAATGGAGCACGTTAAAATGTTTTCTGCATCATGTAGTCTTATCTGACTGATACTGGACAAAATTAACGACAAGTTATGGCTTATGTATACTGTAATAGTGTAGTTTACAGTATATATATCATACCATATGGTTCCAAAATCTGAATGTTATTTAGTGACTTTTTGAGTAAATGTGGCAGGATGGGTATAGTGCAGTAGTGTGTAGCAATGATATCAAACAAAAGCACTATCTTCTGTTTGGATGTCATTTACCAAGTACCCACATGTGTACATGTAACGGTTACATCCTGATGACCCCTTACCTGTAGTAAGGTGTTGGCTATCTCTCCAGCGTCAGGCAGCCCAAAACTCTGCAGGTACATCCCGAAGGCGTAGTAGTACGGCCCCAGCTTGTGTAGATCTACCACGTTAGCATCGGCAGACAGGATCTGTCTGTACCCCTCACGGTACGGCTTGGGCATTTCTACTGTCACTATTCTTCTCTTCCTAAAGTGGGGGTGAACATGGGAATGAGTCTTAAGAGTTCTAGCCCAGTGAGCATATGGATGTAACAACAACATATGTGAGTGACCAAGACAACATTTTAGGATATGTTTTAACTGAAATGACCAGTGCAGTGCAACTAGTGTGTGTCAAATAAACGTCTGAAATGTCACATGTCTCAGTTATCAAAAACCTCTATGTCTTACTTAGCATATGGTCTTAGTCTTGGTATGGTACCCCAAATATTAACGCCCGGGGGGGGTGGCGCTAGGGGAGGTAAAAATTCTCAACAGTAGAAGACAACACAGCCGCGCCTGGTAGCGTAACCGTAAGACAAAGCGTCGTGCGTGTTACCTGGAGCAGAGTGCCCGGGCCAGCCAGTACGGGAGCTCCATGGCCGTCCCCGCCGCCAAGTCGTCCCCCTCCGCCCCGGGGTCCAGGAAGCCGATCCCGATCACTGCCGACTGGAACTTACACGGAACCTTCTCTTGAGTCGTCAGGATGTCTTCGATGCTGAAATAATCCTCCCTGAGCCTTGTAGGGTACTTAACACACGGTGCAAACATCGTTGATTTCTTGTTCTTTGAGCATTCGCGTATCAAAAACAAATCAAATGGAGTGTCCTGGGAGCTCGTCCTGGCGCTGAAATTTGAAGTTGAAAATGGCGCACTACTTTGGCAACATCAAAACGTACCAGAACTAATTATAACTTGAACCAAATCACGGTAATTCTGGAGAAATTAGTTTAAAAAATACAAAACAATGAATACAATGTTTAATTAAATTATAGATAATTTTAGTCATGTCTAATTTTCCACCTCACTGATGTGGTAGTTGAAGGTCTTTTACGTGTAGATGCGGTGAAAACCCGGAAGTGTGTAAAAGTTGCAAAGTAAGCTTAATCGCCAGGTGGCGCTAATCCTGGTGCTTGAACAAGTGTTCTCCAGCATTTCGCGGTGGATAGTTATCGTTAGAAAGGCGCAAAAATGTGACCAGTGTCTGTAAAGAAATAGATCCGTGTGACATATTTTCTACCCTTTCTAACTTCTAAATCGATTGGCACAAATGACCGCAACGAAATGAAGTTACTTCCCATATGGGTACTCATTGTGATGTCCTTGTTTCTTGTGAACAGGTGGTTGTTGTACTGAAAAGTGACGTAATAACGGCACATTCCAGAATTGGTATCTCTTTCTGTCGTGTAGGCTATACTGTAGCTGCAGTTTTGGTTTTGAAATACGCACTTGAAAACATGAATAACGGCGATAAATAACATATAGTGTTGCATGAGCTGACACACATTATTCATTTATTACCTTCGCCAAGAAGGTTATGTTTTCAGGGGCGTTCGTGTATGTGTGTGTGTGTGTGTGTGTGTCTGTCTGTCTGTCTGTCTGTAAACACGATAACTTGAGAAGGCCTTGATGGATTATTTTGATACTTGGTAGGTGGGTAGGTCTTGATGAGACCTCAAAATGATTAGATTTTGGGCCCCCTAGCGGCTTGTTATGGTACTGCAGCTGAACTTACGGTTTTGATATCTCATGATCTAGACATGCTATGATGATGAAATTTGGATGGTAGGTAGCTCTCGTGCTGGGGAAGAAGTGATGTGAGTTTGGGCCCCCTAGCGGCTTGCTCTGGAACTGCAGGGATATATTCTTGAAATTATTCAAAAGGGGATAACTCAAGAACCGTTTGACGGATCGTCGTGATTTTTGGTATGTAGGTAGCTTACGTGATGTTTAATATAATCATGTGACAATTATGCAAATATGGTTGTAATTTACATAATTTATGGGGAAATTCTATAAATCAGCTACATTCCATGATAGGACAATTGAAGATTGTGACATTGGTAATTGACAACGAGAGAAACACAGGAAGATATTGATTATGTTAATAATGACTTAATTTGCATAATTAATGAGAAAGTTTTATAATTATGTAATGATAACTGCCTGGAATTTCATACTTGTGGTATTTGAAAGTTTAGTTGAGGTGAACATCATTAAACATAATTTATTCAAATCAGGACCTCATTTGCATAATTTATTAGGAAATGCTAGAATGCATTGTTTGTTAATATAAGACTGTCTTTTGGTTGAGATTATGATAAAATGATATAATTCATGAAAATTAGGTTCCTATTTCTTAAATCAGGGGGGAATCTAATCTATAATTTGTCAGTCATAAATATTAACATCATTTGGCGAAGGTATGAGATCGGGGAACTCTAGTTATTAGAATTAAATTGGTCATCCCTGCTGTAGAATGCACCGCTCCAATTTGCATGTGAAGATCTCTTCGATCGTCAGAACTCTTCATTACAGACGGGCGTCACTGTGCAACAGGCGGTGTTAAAACGACATTTCTTCCATCAGAATCTTAGCTTTTCACAGAGTTTGACTACTGTACAATGGAAGTTTGTGAAGACGAAACATTACCGACGACTGGCGAGGAAGCGAGGGAAGTTGTCGTCAAAGACGCGTTAGAAAGAACGAGACAAAATGACGACGACGCCATGTTGTCACCCAAGACTGATGCCAACTCGAACGATGTAGACACCCCTGGCGGAACGATGAAATCCCTGGATGATTCTACCGAAAACCTTCCGATTCTGGCAGACACAGAAGCACAGAGCGCTTTCCCCGATGTTTATCATGTTACCAACCTCGACAACCAGGAAAGAATACGGGTAAGTATCATGAGTATTGGCAACTTGAATATTGTACCCTGAGGAAGAATTTATTAATATTTGAGAAATGCACAGGTGTTGTGTGAATCTTATGTACGTTACGTTACGTTAGTTTCAATGTAATATGTCAGCTTCTTCAGGCTATAGTGTTGAATATCGAATAGTATTTCTTTTGCCAAACCCGGTACGTGCATATAGGCTTTACGGAAAGATACATGTTCAAAACTTTCATGATCGATATCGCTGTACGTATACGTGGTATGAACCTTGAATTGATTGAAATTTTCGAAAAGTGAATTTTTCCATACAGTTTTCGTTTTCGAATCATATCATGATCGTTGACATTTAACTCAACTGTTGCTTAGGTCTACACAGAGGACATACTAGGAGACTGCCGTCCGGACCAGATAGCAGTTCACTTCGCCCAGTACGTGCTGTCACACATCGAACCCGCTGGGTGGCGCGCCGTGTGGCGAAGTTCAACCGGAACAACTGAGACTACGGGGGCTTTCGACGTGCTCGTTGAGGTGTGTTTCCAGAAACTTTCTCCCTTTATAATTGTTACATCTAATGCTTATGGGCGCACACCGCAGTTTATATTTTGGATCTCAATTCGATTCTGCACACCCCTGGGTGACCCAGCTCTAGCGACCGTCTCTTTGCCAGACACATGTAGATGTGGAAAGAAGAAGATGAGCTGAAGTGGTGATAATATTGTAGTTTTTAAGCCATTCTTTAAGCCAATGTATGACGACGGTATATGATCAACAACAAAATACTCCATCTATACTTAGGTTGATGACGTCCGACCAGAGGATCTAAATGCGAGCGTTCACATCGTGACGCCGTTCCTTTGTGACCGGCCCGAGGTGCAGCAGGCCTCGGTGGAGAGTCTCTTGGCCTCCCGAGACTACATGTTGCCTCTGACCGAGCTGTGGCCGTTGTACGACGAGAACTATGACCACGGAAAGACTGCGCTGGTCATAGAGCATATTCGGTGAGTGTTCAATAAGTGAGTGTAGAAATGCGATGCACTTTTGTGCTGTAATGAAGCATTCAGCTTTTGCGACGATGCTACGGTTTAACATAGTCACTGTGGTGTTTGCAGATTCTTTTATGACAACCTATGGCGACCCTGGGACGAAGACGACGAGGAGGACTACAGTTTCATCCTAAGACACCTTGGACCGAGGCTTATGCTGTAAGTAAACGAAGTCAACCATACATGGGCGGTGTAACTGAATTACTGAAGTTGGTACCTCTCACTGTTTCTACACACGTGAGCTGTTCTAACAATCGTCCCCACTCCCGGCCCTCTACAGGTACCACGACCTGCACACGGGGGCGGTACCACCGTCCACCACGGAGCAGTACCACGCCACTCTGGCCCTGTACCGACAGCGTCTCGTCGAACTGGATAAGTTTGAGGTTCGTTTTATTCAACAGAGTAAAGCTTTTAGTAGAAACTTTTAGTGGAATTACTCTGATATGGAATTCACACATGTGGGACCTTAAAAGAACTTGATCGTTAGAGGAATTGTAGTCCCGCTTGATAAGACCTATATAATAAGAAATAGCTCAAAGTTTATAAATCTTAATATTCAAATTAAAATGATGTACATGTAGATAGCAAAGACAGGACTAACTCACCCAGGGAAAAGAACCACAGACAGAAAAGAAACACAAAAATTTTACAATGTACAATTTACAAGTACAGTTACAAGTGTTGTACTTGTCGACCACAGTACCTGCCACGGTACTGTAGTACCTTAGTACCACAGTATGGCTAAAATGAAAGCCCCACTGGCACTGTTGTGTTCCGCGCGCGGTAGGACCGGATGGGCGCGGCAGACTCGGACAGTGAGCTGGACTCTAATGACGTGCTGGAGTGTGCCCGCAGACACGAGGAGCTGGACGCCCTCAAAAGGTCAATCCAGGTCATGGAGAACCCCATGATGAGGTACGTCATAGGATGTCTCGTATGTTACTTTGGACCTCTTTGGACCTCTTTGGACTATTTTGGCCATTATTATTGTTGATTGCAAGCTAGCTAATGGTTGTGGTATCTCCGTTTCTGTCTAGACAAACTATATGTTTCCGAGCGGGCACGGCCGGACCAGGTGTACCCAAGGGGCCTCGTCCAGACGGCGAACGCGTCACACACTTGATATCAGACAAGCTGACGGTTGGCATGGTAACCGATCTGTGCCTACCTGCCGAGACCACCCTGCAGTACCACACTTCCCTCCAGGTGGCGCTCGACAACACGTTTGAGGGAGACACCGTTCTGTTGTTTCCGGGGAGACATGTGCTGACACAACCCGTAAAGCTCTGTGACCCCATCACGATAAGAGGTGAAGCGATCTCTGTTGCATTATCACGTTCTCTATTCAAATGTTATTTCAGAACAACTAAAAAATTCCAATAATGTCATTTTGACTTGACCTTGGTGCTGAAATGGCATCAACTCATAACTTTAACTTTATTAATGTTATACATGGTCATACTTCGCTTGTACGGTGCTATAGATGGCATTTATGTTGGCAACAGTATCGCACAACTCTGAACAACTCTTAAAGGAGAAATGATGCAGAAGTAAGAGGTAAATTTATTGTACTAACTTTGAAACGCATTTGTGGTAGGTGTTGGCAATCCTGATGACGTCACAGTAGAGATCATGGTGGCCATGATGCAGTTCGCCGTCCTCTGCTCGTCCTTCCACGTCACCATGTCTAACCTCACACTGCAAGCCAGCTGTCTGGGGTCTACTGTACATGTCACGTGTGGCTGGACCAAGCTGGAGAAATGCCGGGTTTTCAATCTTAAACATTAATTTTGTTTTAATATATCGAATCTTTATTTGCGTGTTCATGCCCATGGGGTTAAATGCATACATCGTAGTGTTATGTCACATGTATATCATACTGAGTAACATAATACATAGGACAGAAGGATAACGTAAAGAATAACGTAAAAGTCTTAGGAACTACTGGAGAATACATTCTATTTAATTTAATTTAGATCTTAAAGATTTCTTCATATATACTGGAGTTTTCCTCTCAAAATCGAATGAGATGAAATTAACATATGTTCTTATTCTGTATTTCATTTTTGGTTCTGAGGATTTTTGTTATGTCTTACTGTCCAGCATGATAACTGACGGTTGTTGTATCATAGGTTAAATGTGGCGGGCGTGTGGGGGTCAAGGTGCAACCCAAGGCCATGTTGACCATGATGCAGTGCGAGGTGACTGGAGCAACCGTAAGACCGATAACTTACCATGTAAACATTGTGAATCTGCTTAAAAAGTCAGTTTTCTGCAGAAAATCTCCATTCTAGAGATACGATATATAACGTTTATGTAGCAACTAAAATGAACGAATTCGATCACGAAATCAGCTATGTATGAACATGAACATATCAAGCAATGTCATTTTTCTTTAGCTCGGTGTGTTACGCCGAAGTGCGGTTATACCGGCTATACAGATACAAACTTTATCAGTCCTGATTTGCCCTGAAAGATGTGTTCAACTGTAATGACTAATATCTCATGTTATATTTCTGATGTCTATAGCAGCGTGGTATTGACCTTGAAGCAGGATGTGAGGCAGAGTTAGTGGATAACGTCATCCACGGTCACGGGTCTGGCCCCGCCCCTGTCTACGTCAGCGAACCGGCCGCCATTAGAGTACAGGTGGGTGTGGCTAATGGTTGACTGATTGGTTGGTTGGTTGGTTGGTTGGTTGGTTGGTTAATTGGTTAAATGATTGATTGGTTGATTGATTGATTGGTTGGTTGGTTGGTTGGTTGGTTGGTTGGTTGGTTGGTTGGTTGGTTGGTTGGTTGGTTGGTTGATTGATTGGATGATTGATTGATCTTTTCGCTGTTCTTCACATTTATTTTCAGGCGCTCAAACCTAGTCCGGATTCTCCAGACGACCTCCCTCCACCCTTAGTGTTGAAACACAACCGCATCGGCCCGAACGCCGCGTACGGCCTGCAGGTCCTGGTGGACCAGATGGAACACTGCCGCCTGGAGATGAGCCCAGACACCCCCAAGGAAGACGTCCTCAGACACGACTTCGCGTGGATCGTCACAGAAGGAAACATGTTTGTGGACAACGCTCTGGGCGATGTGGAGATTTGTCCTTCCATAGAAACCATCAACTTTGATTAGGCCAGGACAAAAAAAAAAAAAAAAATGACTGTTGCCGGATGCCCGAATTAAAAGTGGAACACATGTACAAATCTCCTATCGATGGTGCTGTAATAGAAGATAACAGTGACGGCTTTTTATGTAGAATTGCTATAGATTTGAATGTTAGAAATGCAGTTTATGATTGCGTGTAGCAGTTCAGTTTATTTAAGCCAAGAAAGCGCTGTTTCCCGAAGACATTGAAATCATGTTATTCTGAAATGTATATCAAGGATAAAGTCGCAACATGCATGTATATTGAATAAAGATTGTTTTAATCGTGGCCCCCTTTATGATTGTATCATTGCTTGCATGAAACCAAGCGCCGCCCTCTGTTTGTGATCGACCTGTTAATGAAAGATCATGAAAGCACGTAACAAAGCTATTTTCCAGCTCGCAACATGAAGGCGAATACCCAAACTTGAAACTACACAACCTGCCTTACATCACAAGTTTGCCTAACTTCTGTAGATTCGCCCAGGCTCCTTCCAATGCTGAATGAATGCTGGAGACATCTTTGCATTTTCCGACGACAAGCCTGATGCTTCTCTGCTCGTCAAGTCGTTTTAACAGCTCGTTTTCTTCGTAGAGTTCGTGGCTCGCGCTGTGTCCGTGCTTGTCGTAGTAGTGGTAGGGAACGGGCTTGTTCTTGTATCTCTCCATGGGGTAGAAGCCGTACATGGAGATCCTGTCACAGAAGGTGGAGGCCAGGGCGAAGCTGTTCAGGCCAGTCGAGGCGAAGGTCCCGCGTGACGCTCTCCCGAGAAGTTCTACGTACAAACTAAGAACACCAATACAAGATTACTGCTAACCTTTCTTCGCAATAAAGATGCTATGAACAACAACAAATGGAAAATGTGGTGCGCGTGATGCGCACAGAAAAAAGAAATTAAAACAATTAGTTACCCTCTTTTGTCCTTGAAAGATTTGGAAGGAAAAGCCGTTATTGTTGACATGCTGTTCTTCTTGATCGCATTTTCAACCACCTGCATTTGTCGGATTTTGTCAGACATCGACAGCTCGATGGAGTAGGCTAGGATCATCCCACGTGTCTCGCCTAGGGCTGCCAGGGTGTGTTTCCGATCTACTGAGTTATCGGACTGGAGAGCATCACTAATCTGTCTCAGTCGCTTTCCGTTTACAATGGTCAAGTCAGTCCTGCTGCCTACATCTGTTCTATACGGGGAGACGGGAGGCAGGTTGGACCGGATGACAAACTCGTGAGCGTCTATCTCAGCACCACAGCTGCTATGGAGGAGGATACCGCTGTTCCCCACCACTGCGCATGTCCGGTAGTGCTTGATGGGCGTGTGGACGACGTCGCAGGTTTTTTTATGTGACTTCCGAAGTGTGAAAGTTGATTGGTCACATTTCTGCCTGAAGACTTTTAAGTCCGAAAAATAGATGACGTCTTTCTTCGGATCAAAATATCTCTTAGTGATCTTCCTGTGGAGAAAATGAGGACGAATCAAATTCAATCTGATACATTGTTGAATTCAAAGACGGCGATGTACCATTAAATTGCTCCACTTAATACCCCGATCGAATACATCATGTACAAGCCTATTTTCTAGACCATTGACTATAGACTAACAGGTCAGGGACATTACATATATGCTGTAACTTACTGCATGTTCCTGATATTTTTCTTGTCGAAGTAGAGCTCCATTTTTGCCATGACCTCGTCTGGGTCAGTAGTTTTCTCAGGTGGTCGGGGTCTGTCTGGCATGATGAGCTTCAGACGGCGCGTAATCTTCAAAGGCTTGATCGGCAGCAAATCATACACACCGAGGAGGGCTATGGTGGTGACACCAAGGCCACAGAACACTACCACATAGGAAGGTGGCATGGTCTGGTCATGACATTCTTGTACCCCAAGAAAGTCAGTAAATCTGCAACCCTTCTCTGAGGCGGCGACACGTAGTTTTACAGTTATTGGTGATATCATATGGCACATGGAGACCGGTATAACTGCACATTTATGCACGGTTCACATGTGTACACTCTGACCTTATGAAATATGTCTGCCGGTTTGTCTGCTGTGAATATGTATACCCCCAGGCTACTACCGTCTGTTAGATCTTGGCGTGCCTAGTACCGTACAGCATATATACTGGACATCCAATGAGAAAAGCGTATCTGTATCGGTTTAACCTCTATAACCGCCATTCGGCGTAACACACCAGCTTTGCAGGCACGCGACGCAGTGGAAGTAATGACAGTAATCTCTGGGTAGCTTCACTGAACAAAATTGTGAATTAAAAGAGTCTAACTGCGGAAACGACAACGTCTGGTGGTTAATAGGCTAGTGACAGTGACATGGGCTACTGGTCATGATGTGATATAATTGCAAAATGAACGCGGTGTCCAAAGGCCTACGTACGCCTGGAAAGACGAATGACTCAGAATTCACATCACGTCAGCAGTCTTACAGATGATCACACTTGACGGGTGACTTGTTTTACTAGCGATGCACCCTATTACCTTCACCAGCAGGGTGGTGATGTTTTCCGTGCGATTTGATTGGTTTGACTGTTTGATAGAGGATAACACACACACATAGACACACACACGCGCGCGCGCGCACACACACAAAAAAAAAACACACACATACACACACACACACGCAAACACAAGAAGTCGTGAGTCGTGTGAGGCTTGCCTTTGGATTATTTCTCTTCAATTTGAGGTAGAGGGTAAAAACTTCAAGCCATATGCATGGAGATGGTTGGTAACATTGTATCATATGACATTGACACCATGGTGGCAAATGTCCCCTTCCCGTCATGAACAAGCAGGTACCGGTCAAAATGACACCCCAGGGTACAGAATTCTTTATTTTGTTCTCCACATTCGTGTAGTTTGTGGTCATGTTGGTGCGTCTGGCTTGCATTTTCCGACAACATGTCTGATAACTCCCATGGCATCCAGCTGCCGTAACAAGGCATACTCTCCGTCAAAATCATGACTTTCGCTGGCCGTGTGATCGTCGAAGTAGTGGTAGCGGACTCGCTTGCTCTGATATAAAGGCATGGGGTAGAAGCCGTACATGGAGATCCTGTCACAAAAGGTGGAGGCCAGGGCGAAGCTGTTCAGGCCAGTCGAGGGGAAGTCCCACTCTATTCCGGCAAGTTCTTTGTAGACCCTATAGAGGAGTTGATGAATGAAAATCATCATAAATGTGTACGTGAGGACGAATGCAACAATGCTGGCAATAAAAACTGTTGACATCACGACGAAATTAGTTTGATATCTAGCAGTACACTTATTGCAGACTGATTACATAATAGGCTCGCACCTGAGGCGTCGCCAAAAATAAAACGCAGGTGCATAGAAATGACATACTAGCTAAGGCAAACGTGTCAGATGCTTAAATAGTTTATGTTAAACATAGGATAAAATGAAAATTTTAGCTTCATAACATTCCTAACTTGGTGATATTGAGGGGAATGCATTCTACCGTCTGTTGTCCAGAAAAGACGTGGATGTAAACGCAGTGATGGTTGGTTTGTTGTGCATCTTCAACACGGTGTCGACTACCCGCATCTCGTTCCTCCTTTTCTCCGTAAAGATAAAGGAGTAGCTAAAGATCATCCCGGGAGACTCGAATAAGTTGAGATCGAGATGAGGCATGGCCGTCACCCAGGGCTTGCCTCTGAGGAGAGTCTCAAGAGCTCTGCTGATCTTCATCAGTCGCCTCCCGTTTACAATCGTCAAGTTAGTCCTGCTCCCCGCATCTCTGTGATATCGTCGCAAAGGCGGTAAGTTGGGACGGATGACAAACTCGTGAGCGTCTATCTCAGCACCACAGCCGCTCTCGGTAAGTATACCACCGCTACCCACCACTGCACATGTCCGGTAGTGCCTGATGGGCGTGTGTGCAACGTTACAGGGACTTTGAGGCGAGTCCCGGAGTGTGAAGGTTAGGTAGTCACATTTCTCCATGAAGATTTCTAAGTCGGAGTAATAAATGACGTGTCTTATCGGATCATAATATTTCTTGGTGATTTTCCTGTGGAGACAAAAGGAGAACAAACGAGATAATTGACACTTGATTGGACGAGGTGGGTGCTACTAGTACTCGTAAAAGTCAAGGACATTATCCTATATATTGTCCTTGCTAAAATAAACCGTCAGAGCGGTGTTGCATAATGACAATGCAAGAAAATGTTCAAACTCACTAGAGTTTGTGACCTTTCAAGCAATTGCGAGGTATTAGTATCGCCAACCTGTGACTGAAATCATGCAGGATAAAATTTTAACTTACTGAACTTTCCTGATGTTTGTCACGTTGAAGTGGGCGTCTTCTTTTATCCTGGAATGCAGCCGCTGGTTCACAAATGACTGGTTCACGCTGCTGGGATGACGATGGTGGTGCAGGACAGCCTTCAGCGGCCGGGGCCTGGGCAGGCCAGGTACGGACACCTTCACACGGGGCAGTTCCGGCGGTGGCGGCAACTCTGGCTCTTGTATGTAAATGTAGAACGCGACTAGGCCAATACCGAAGATCAGAATAGCTTGGAAGAGTGGGAGTGGTCTGAAGATCACCCTCCTCATACTGGTCTATATAGTTACGCTTTCAATCAACACGTAGTGCTACGTTCTTTTTCCTTGCACTATGACCTGACACGTTTTCACACAGCGTGTCGCTAAAACAATTGTTGTGCTGGTTTGCCCTTAGACCTTTTTTTCAATCCCGTCGATCCAGTTTTTAATGTCAGGAGTTAATTATGCTGAAGAGGTCACCCTCTACGTGTCAATAATATGCAACCTGTAGTGCAAGAGCTGTAGGTTGGGTGGCGTCTATTCCTCCTGTAGTATCTCAGATCTGCGTTTCGATAGAAATAAGAATACAGTATGACCGGGATTAAATGACCTGGAATAATTACATTCATTAACTCAACCTTTTTCTATTGGTCATGCCTTTAGGCGCCAGATTTGTATGTATTTTGATGCCTAGCTAATGAGGAGTGGATAATAATTCAGGTACAAACAAAAAAGTCCACTCTTATCACCATGCCATCTATTTGGATACGCACACACTCATACACACGCACAAACGCACGCACACACACACACACACACACACACTCACACACACGCGCGCGCGCACACACACACACACACTAGTCGTGCATTTTCCAGTCTGAAAGACGGGTAATAGAAGAATACAGAGAACGAAAAAGCTCATGATTGGATGAAAAATTTTAACGTCACGTAATTGCATTGTATTCTAAACATTTCATATATCTTTTCATCATTCTTCAGTCATGACATCATGTGTGTTTTCTGTTGTTATCTGCTGGTCCGATATTGAGTGCAGTACTAGTAGGAATGCTTTACCCTCTTTCTCTCTGATTTGAGGTAGACTGTATGTATATGAGGTACTGGCCAGAGCTTTGAGCCATAACATTGCGGAACGATACATGGAAAATGGAAAGTTTTACAAATGTGCCATTGTGAACAAACATGTTTGGCTTGAAGCATTTGGTGTTGACGTGTTTTTTTTTTCTAAATTGGGGTCCTCTTATTGAAAGAGCTCATTAGTTATCAATAGATGTTCTCAGCCAATATTACATTTTTCCAACGACGTGTCTAATGACTCCCTGGTTGTGAAAATCCCTTAACAGTTTGTACTCGTTGTCGAATTCGTGTCTTGTGCTAGGAACACGCTGATCGTAGTAGTGGTAGGAAACGGGCTTGTTCTGGTAGGTAGACATGGGGTAGAAACCGTACATGGAGATCCTGTCACAGAAGGTGGAGGCCAGGGCGAAGGTGTTCAGGCCAGTCGAGGCGAAGCTCCATTCTTCCCCCACAAGCTCCTTATACACTCTGAAAAACACGATTTATGTTTAATATAATATAGAAACTACACTTGGTTAGTATTAAACTAGACCCTCTGTCGTTTTTATACTAGTTAACTTATTGTGTCACATTTTATACTAGTTAACTTATTATGTCACATTTTCGAACCGGGGCCCGGCCGGGCTGTTTGTATGAACGAAAAATTAACAATTCCTATCAAGAGTATACAGAAATCGTGTCCATGATTGTTAGTAAAAACTTTTCTGTGGTTTGTTGTCTTTTGTACTTTTCGTTCCCAAAAGCTGCCCAGCCGGGCCCAGTGTGGAATTGTGACCTCGGCATTATTTGTGTTAATGGGTAGATGACGTTAAACTGTGGTTTGTGATGTCATAAGTTATTTTACAAGACATGGATGGATAGACAAAGACAGTTTTGCACCTACCCTTTGCTCCGTAGGAATGACTTTTGTGGGAAGGCAACCACAGCTGTCATGTTATTCTTCCGGATAACTTTGTCTATAGTTTTCATCTTCTTTGTCGCCTTAGACCGAATGAAGTAGAGCGTGTAGCTTAAGATCATCCCGGGCGTCTCGCCAAGACGGTCCAGCATGGCCTTCTTCAGCGTCGCGTTCTTAGACTGGAGGTCTCGGCTGACCTGCGACAGACATTTTTCGTTCACGGTGGTCAAGTCAGTCCTGCTGCCTACATCTGTTCTATACGGGGAGACGGGAGGCAGGTTGGACCGGATGACAAACTCGTGAGCGTCTATCTCAGCACCACAGCTGCTATGGAGGAGGATACCGCTGTTCCCCACCACTGCGCATGTCCGGTAGTGCTTGATGGGCGTACGTACGATGTTGCAGGGACTTCGGCTGCTTCGGTCCTTGAGAAGTGTGAAGAGTTGAGGTTGACATTTCTTCATGAGTACATCATAGTCCGAGAAGTAGATAACGTGGCGTTTTGGGTCAAAATACTTTTGAGTGATGTTTCTGTGGGAAAAAGACAATTAGAAGTAACACAAAGATCACATGGTGATAATGACAATGACAGCTAGCTAAGCAGAGTTGGGACACGTGAGTCAATGTGGAAGGTAATATTACGTATCTGGGACCTCAAATTAATTCTATTTATTTAATAATAGTAATCTGTAGTTGAATCTAGAAATGTCGACTAATCCATTTGAAATCATACGGTTAACATTGAGAGCCACATCCAGAAACCATCGGAAAAGTTGAGACTTATCCAGTTTTGTGAATGACAAATATACGACACGATACAAGAATTCGGAGTCCTTATACCTCCATGAAGTATTTAGAAACGCCTACATTTCATAGGAGTGGCTAATCATAATAAAAATCTCAAACTTACCGTATCTTTTGGATATTCGTCATGTTGAAGTGATTCTCTTTTCTTGTCACAGTTAGATTTGTGTCATACGTCAGGCTGGGTTCGTTACGTCTGGTCAGGTTCAGGCTATGCCCACGTACGACTTCCACCCCGCCGAGGTGCTCGCGAAGTACGTGCGCCGAGCTGAGTCGTCCCACCCCGTGGTGCTCACGAAGTACTAGTACCTCCGCCGAGCTGAGTCGTTCCACTCCGTGATGCTCGCGAAGTACTTCCGCCGAGCTGAGTCGCCATGTTCCGGTATGGTTGTAGGCGAACACCAAGCCGAGACCGATCAAGGATGTGCCGAATAAGAGAATGGCATAGAAAAGCGACCGAAGTAACCTCCGAGTGAACATAGTTGTTCACCAACCTGTGAAACAAAAGTCACATACAGTATTTGATCGATAAATGTTGCTAGCTGTAACTTAAACCAATGTTACATCAAGGAGGTTATAGACTTAATTCTTGGTTACAGGCTGACCAACCAGATATACTTTCTTGTCCACATCACGAACTGTAACGAATGGAGTTCTTTAATAAATTATTTGACAGATCATACAGATTGGCTGTCGCAGAAACGTAATAAACAACGATATCTGGTATATTGTCTGCTACATTCTCATACTGTTGTAAAGCAACAATCGATATCGGCCATTACTGAAGTTGTCTGCTATGTCCTCACACTTTCTGATGGAATCCACCATTACTGGACCATGGCATTTTTTCTGATACTTTTGTCTCGACAAGTAAGACAGAGAGATACAGCTAGCGAAGATTTCAAAATGACCGCTCAAATAAAACAATCTGTAGGTATATCAAACCAAACATACATGTGACGTGGTTATTGGTTCAACCCACGAACAGTAATGTACTACTTTCACATTTGCCCATTCTTGTTTATGAAACACCTTATCTGTCTGAGATCACCTTAGGAGGCCAGGTAGTGACTCTCTTGGGAATTTTTGAAGTACTCTTTCGACCATTTTTTCAGCAAGTCCAGTAAAAGAATTGTTTAGGATTTCAGATTTTACCGTAGCGTCCAGTCTTGTCTGGAAAAGATGCTCCTTGCGGCATCTGTACACACGCACGTCAATGCAATAGGATAAATAGCTACAGGCTGAGGTGTGCCCTATGACCCCACAACAATCCCGTTGATCAACTTTATCTGGGTCAAATATGCGACATGAATATTCTGTTCTCAAATCCGTCTTTTGTGCGCCGTTTCCGTGTGTTATTTGGGCTCGAAGTAGAATACCAAAGATATAGTCTTTGGATTGCCTACGATCTTCAATAAACTGTGCAAATATGGAGAAAAAATCGCCCATACTCCAAATTAAATAAGGAAGTATACACAAGTGGTCAGCTATGACTGTGTGAATACAACCACACTGAAAACAAATGTCGGATTACTAGTATTATGACGCACTGTAACATCAGTCTAACTCTATGATGGAATCCATACCTTCATATATACATCCTAGTATCTATCAGACTTCTTTCATTGATGTGAAATAGAGTATCAAGCAGCTATAGCGTATGAAGCATTTCCTGGCAATTTATTCACTCAATTTGGCCAAATTCTTCTACATGTAACAATCCTTGCCTATCCCTATAGGGCTCTGCGTTCTTTAATGGCCACTTGTAGCCACAGGCATGGGAGTGTAATATGGCGCACTGAACTAAAATGTCATGTTATTTTCCAACTGACTTAGTTTTAGACAACGACTGGTAGAATGAGCCACCAATAACGGCAGAACGCATTTCTTTGTGGCCACGATACCAGCTTAGGAACTGTCTGTTGACGAATATAGAAGGACGACAGCTAAGTCAGATTTCTATCATGTTTGAATATGTCGTAACTAGGCGTTATCAACGGGTGAGATGGGGTGGAATGACTGGACAAGGTCACGCTGGGGGCCACAATATTGTCTTGAAATAAAAAGGGCATGCAAGCCTTGACCTATACGGTATATAGTGATAGGTACAGATCTTTTCTAAACTGTAATTGTACAGTAGATTCACGACAAAGCGATATAATCAAAGGTCAACAACAAAGAACATATTTCTTATCTAATATACCATTATTCAGTAACTCTACTTACCCACAAAGACAGTCGACAAAAGGTGCAGTCATAGCCATAGGTATTGAACCCAAGGGGGCTGAGTCCAACAGTCTTGGAGCGGCAGCATCTCGCCACCTTTTTTTCTTGTCCGTATGGGAATGACTTGAGCGCTGCTCTATGACATAGTTTCCACCACGATCGTTTCAATCTATAGATGCACCACACACGCGTCGATCTGCTGTCGATCTGTATGTCCGTGTTGTTTTTTCAAGACGAAGCTGACACTACTGAAAGGCCAGTTCAACCCGTCTGACCACTATGTGGGGATGCCCCTACCGGCGAGCGCAGTTATTGCCGCAAAATATTGTCTGTCTGTTGAGGGGATATATTTGAACGGAGCCGAGCTGGTTCGCTGACGATTGTTACTAGACAGAGGTTTGTCAGAACTTCAAATGGAAGATCTAGGTAGCTATAGCCTGGAATCCAGCCTTGTTATATGTAGCAATGAGGCGATGGTTCTTCATAGTGTCCCAACGTTGGTGGGATAGCGAATCTTGGGGGACGAGGCTGGACTCCAGGCTACAAGGAAACACCCTAGCTTATCGCTGAAAAACATGCATTATTATATATTGTGATAGTTTGAAAACGCTTGGAAAGGAAGCCTTTATAAATCATTTTAGCCCCATTGTTAATCATAAGCTATAATAATGTGTCCTATATGATAAACATGTCCGTATCCCGTGGAGATATTAGCACTGTATCAAATATACATGGACATCATAATAGCTGCCCTCCCCCACCACAAAAAAATCACACACGAGTACAGGTAGGTACCGGACACGCACAAGGCACAGGATACTTTATTGGCCCCATGATGTTTCACACAACACACTGGATGAATTTTTCCTGGTTTGAAAATGAAAGCTCATCATGTCTTTAATTTCATCAAACCAACGCAGTACTCCGTGAGGCACTAGTCAGCGATTTCTGGAATCGCAAATCACACATTACATCACAGTTGTCTAGAAAGCTATAGAGAAGCATTGAAAGCATTGCACAATAAGGCTGTTCAATATTATCAGATACTCGTAGCAATAAAGCTTTCCAACAACGAAAATGGTACCTCCAATGGAGGAATGGCCAATGCATATTTTTTAATCCAAAAGATTACAGTTGTAAAATCCTGTTAAGTAAAACATAGATTATGTGTAGTGGTAGGATTCTGCAGAATTTGTAAGATAAACTCTATACCTTCAAAGCTAGAGGTTCGTGTTGTTTTTAGGACGTAAAGGGGAGTGGCCGGGGTACATTCATGTTGGAGCGTCTGGCTTGCATTTTCCGACAACATGTCTGATAACTCCGTCGGCATCCAACTGTCGTAACAAGGCATACTCTCCGTCAAAATCGTGACTTTCGCTGGGCGTGTGCTGGTCGTAGTAGTGGTAGAAAAAGCGCTCACCCTGGTACATCGGCATGGGGTAGAAACCGTACATGGAGATCCTGTCACAGAAGGTGGAGGCCAGGGCGAAGCTGTTCAGGCCAGTCGATGGGAAGTCCCACTCTATTCCGGCTAGTTCTTTGTACACCCTAGTCGGATTTAATAATGAAAATCAATAATCAAAAATGTACAAAGAAGATCAAGTGCAAAAATCAAATGCGCATTAAATGGAAACAGTTTAATTATACAGTGTAGTGAAGGCAAACGAAACTAATACTTTGTGTTTCGTACAGGATGAACCATAATCTTGCTCCATAACATATATAAGTTAACGATATTGATGGAAATGTATTCTACCGTTTGCTGTCCTGGAAAGACGTGGCTGGAAAAGCAGTGATGGTTGGTTTGTTGTACAGTTTGATTGCAGTCTCGACTACCTGCATCTGCAGCCATCTTTTTTCCTTAAAGGCCATGGCGTAGCTAAAGATCATCCCAGGTGGATCAAACACGCGAAGATGAGGCCCGGCTATCGCCGATGTCCCACCGAGGACTTGACGAAGTAATTGGCTGATCTCAGTCAGTTGCTTGCCGTTTACAATCGTCAGGTTAGTCCTGCTGCCGACATCCCTCAGAAAGGGACGTAAAGGCGCCAGGTTAAAACGGATGACAAACTCGTGAGCGTCTATCTCAGCACCACAGCTGCTATGGAGGAGGATACCGCTGTTCCCCACCACTGCGCATGTCCGGTAGTGCTTGATGGGCGTCTGTACGACGTTACAGGGGCTTTGAGGCGAGTCGCGAAGCGTGAACGTCTCTGGGTCACACTTTTCCTCGAAGATATTGTAGTCCGAAAAATAGATGATATGTTTCTTTGGATCAAAATATTTCCTGGTAATATCCCTGTGAAAAAACAACAGCAAAACAGTCAAGAAATGAAATTAATCTGGCTTAACTTTGTAGGACTCTAATCCATGATTGAGGGGTAAAACGGAAATGTACGAAATCCCCATAAACTTTAATTTCCCTGGTTTCTAACATATACTTTTCTTATAAGTAGACGTCCGAAAACTCTGAACCAATATCAATCGTCTATTTATCATTTAAAATTGAAGTTACTTGTTAAAGCTATGAAAACGTCAGTTATACTATACGTCAAACAAGCGTCCAATTTACCGCACTTTCCAAATGTTTGTCATGTTGAAGTGGTCTTTCATCCTCACCATGGGCTGATCGGAAAAAGTCTCCACCGGCCGGCGGGTGTAAGCAGTGCCCAGCCGGCTCACGTTCAGTGAACGGGCGTTAGTTAGGACCGTCAGGGTCAGGTCGGCAGCTTGTTCGTACACCCAAAACATCGCTATAGTCACGAAGCCAATGCCGAAGAATATTTTTGCGTAGAAGAATGGTGTGAAAATGACGGCCCTCTTGGAGGTCAATGGTGTCAGCGGATCTGCAAGAGAGCACAGTGCAATAAAAGTGCCGTTTTTAACTGTTAGACAAGACATATTGTAGGCTATCGCTAGTTTCATGTAGTAAAGGAACACGCGCATAAACACTGTGTTCTGCGGGTTCTGACAGAAAATGAGGAGTTTATCTCTAGATGACTGATGCCTGTCGACGGACACAGATCGTAACATTAATGCCCTGTTCTTACACTAATACCCTGTTCTAAACATTAAACATGAAGCACGTTACAGCTAGGGTCTTGGCCTACTTGCACGCCGTGTTAAGAACTACCAGTGGCCCGGGGCACAATTGGGCACGGTTTGTGTTTACGTCAAGAATGCTGTGTTGCCCTTTCACCCCCTGACACGGAAGTTGTAATTAGAAATCATCATCGCCCCCCCTCCACTCCAATTATCCCCCCCCCCATGTAGTCCCACTCGGCTACTTTCTATGTGTAAAATGTATGTCTGTCAATATACAGAATGGTTACTAAACACTAGCATTGATCATTTTTTCCCAATGCATATAGTTGACAAAATTAGCTGTATGTACTAGGTGTGGCCTAGAATTGGCACGGGTAGGTATTATCTAGCCTCTACCAGGCTTGGGGAGGCGGCTGGAAAGAGTAGAAGAAGGCCAAATAGAGAGATAGCAATTGCCATGGGGAGTTGGTTTGCTGGAGAGAGTTCAGGAGCGGCAAACCGTTCGATTTCTCTCCAGCAGATCAACTCCCCTGCCGTGCTATCTTTCTATTTGACCGACTTCTACTCTTTCCAGCCGCCTCCCGAAGCCTGGTAGAGACTAGGTATTATTCGTCATTTCCCACACATTTTAATTTTCTCACGGTGCTGCACCATTCGTCATACACAGGGACAGTAACATGTAAGTTTACTCACCCATGATTAAACACTCATGCCCGGGTTGAAACAAACTGGTTGTGTGTGTAGCTGAAGCCGCAGGCTCAGCAGTGACGTTTCTGTGTCCGGAGTGCCTCTCTGTGTGAAGTGACCTTGTACCACACGTCGCACGTCGACGTCTTTCAAACTGTCGTTATGCCGCGCACATTGGTACATGGGCTCCTACATCTGATGTACACCTTCCACAGGGACCTATTTAGAACCATTAACGACTGTGATTTATGTGCACGTGTTACCAAGGTTTATACTGTAATTCACTTTATGTTCACGGTAGCAAAACTTCACGGTCTAAGAAAAGTGGACATGTTCACGGAACTATACATTCACGGTGGCGACAGGTTCAGGAAAAAGAAAGTCCAGGAATTATTTGTTAACTGTAATAATAAGTTCACGGTACAGAAGTGACAGTGAAAACAGTGAGCATAAAAGTACTGTGAAAAAAATCAGTAATTAGAGAGATATGCTGGTAACCTCGAACCAAAACCCGTCCGACGACTGTCTAATTAAAGCTGCCCCCATCCGGCTGGTGGAATTATTGACATACGTGCACTGCACTCGCTCTGTATTACTCCAACTTTTGCTGTGAATCATTGCGGTAAACAGTAGATCGTTGTTAATGGGTTATCTTGAAAATGAAAGGCATATTGAATTCTAAAAAAAATCAATACTCCCTGAGCCATGGGAATAATACACGCCGGTTCTACGCTTCATTTTAGCCAGTTAGATAGCTCTATGTAACAGTTAGTATTACTTAGAATTAACGGCACTGAAAAAGTTTCTAAATACATGAATACACAACTAACAAACAAACCAAGGAGGTTTTTAAACCTCCTTGAACAAACTGAACTGGCAACTCAAGGCCTAAGATAATAGATTTTTCACAAGGTCCTAAGGGAAGAATGAGATGGAGTAGAAGGTAGGTATAGGCGGTTTACCGGTTATGTGAAACAAACAAAAGGTATCTGGCGAAGTTTGATATTTTCTTCTATGTCCTAAATGTTAAGCGCAAACATCTAAAATAGCCAAATAATGTGTTTATTGATCAAAACTACATATATTGCACAAAAATGTTTTCCACACGTATTTTTTTAACAAGATGAAAACTATGTCTATGAGGTAGCATGTTGTCGTCCATACATTTAGTTATTGATTCAACTTTGAAAATTTTTTATTCAACTCCATCGAAAGCTATGATGACCAATTGAAGCTAAAGGACAGAAAATGAATCTCCATCATATTATGATGCAACAATTTGCAACAACACGTTTTATTTTGTCTCAATAGTTCGCAATGCTCTCTCAAGATTTGCCATGATTTTACAGTCATAAATTAGCTGCATTAGCTGCACAGAATCCGCAAGAAATTCGAATTCACAATGACGAATAAAACAAGAAATTCGCAAGAACTCTAATTACGTAGCAGAGGTGTAACATCTTCAATTTCTTGTTGAGTCTTGGAAGAGGTGCTAGATGAAGGTCCTGTGTTGTAGAAGCCTTCGTTTTGACTTCGTCCCGTTAACATAACCAACAGGAGAGTGTGCAGTCAGGTTTTCAGAATCTATATTGCATTTCCCGACTACATGTCTTATAACTCCGTCTTCATCCATTTGCCGTAACATAGCATACTCTGCGTCGAAGTCATGTCGGTCACTGGGCGGCATATTGTCGTAGTAGTGGTAGGGTACGGGCTTGTTCTGGTAGGTAGACATGGGGTAGAAACCGTACATGGAGATTGTGTCACAGAAGGTGGAGGCCAGGGCGAAGGTGTTCAGACCAGTCGAGGCAAAACCCCATTGTTTCCCCACCAGCTCTGTGTATAAACTATCAAGGTTAACAAAGATTAGCTGAGAGGTTCACAAAGATTGGCCGAGAAGTAGCGATGCAAAGGGCCATTTGTTGAGGTGCAAGGACGATAACTAAATAATGTTTTACAAGTTGGAAAGCTACAAATTATTACGTTTTACATCGCCATTTTAGTCAGCTTATCATTCTTCATTTCTGTCTACGTACGTGTACTGTTTAGACATTATTTTTGCTTTCAATCATCAAGTATTTTCTCTTCTATTGTGTTAAAAAACGTAGGGAAACTCACCGTTTGCTGTCTAAGAAAGATCTGAAGGGAAAGGCCGTTATGGTAGACAGGTTGTTCTTCTTGATGGCAGCGTCGACTATGTGCATCCTCCGTTTTGCGTTGGACCCGACGAAACCGAAGGAATAACTGAAGACCATCCCCGGCGTCTGGCCGAGACGAGCCAGCATGGCTTTCCGACGTGTCGCGTTGAATGACTGAAGGGCCTCGGTGATCTGCACCAGGCGTTTAACATTTATACTAGTCAAGTCAGTCCTACTGCCTACATCTGTTCTATACGGGGAGACGGGAGGCAGGTTGGACCGGATGACAAACTCGTGAGCGTCTATCTCAGCACCACAGCTGCTATGGAGGAGGATACCGCTGTTCCCCACCACTGCGCATGTCCGGTAGTGCTTGATGGGCGTGTGTACGACGTTACAGGGTCTGGGGCGGCGCGGGTGCGAGTTGCGCAGTGTGAACGTCTGTGGGTCACATTTCTCCAGGAAGACATGGAAGTCCGAGAAATAGATGATGTGTAACTTGGGATTAAAATACTTCCTGCTGATGTTCCTGTAGAAAAAAAAGGTATGTAAACTGCTGGCGTGTCGCTAGATTACGTCATTTACACCCATTTACTACATATTACGTAAAAGTTAGCTTTCCTTTGATTTTTGAAGTGTCGAAAGTATCATTGATAGAAAATTTCAGCGAGAATGCAATGTCAACAGTATGTTTAACCTACTGTACTTTCCAGATGTTTGTCATGTTGAAGTGGGCTTCTCTCGCCGCCATAAGTTGCTCAATAGAAGCCGGCGGCGGTCGGCTATCGTCCGGGGTAGTCAGGTTCAGCCGACGGGTGAACACCCGGTTCAGCTGAAGCGTGCCGGTCAGCTTGTACACGTAGAGTAACCCGATAGTAATCATGCCGACACCGGCAAATACTGTAGCATGGAATAATGGTCTGATCATGACGCCCCTTTGAGTGGATGAAGCGTGTCAACCAACCTGAAAAATGGCATCATTTTCTGTTTTCAAAACAAACTACATGTAGTCAAGGAAGACTTCCTGCAAAAAATAACCGTTCATCATCATCATCAAAGTAACCGTTGATCACGGATTATGAGGACTTCAAGCACTCTATACCAAAAGACTTTCACAATAGACAGGTAAAACTGGTCTCTGTATTTTCGGCACTGGTAAAGCCAAGGTTTGAATACATGCAGCTATCCACACGTATTCTGAATAAGTCAAGCTAACTCAAACACGGATTTCTTCCGCTCAGTCTATGACCTGAGGCTATTTTTCGGGGTGCGCTGACATGACGACAATGCCCGTATGCCCTTTCACCCCCTCTATTGTTGATCAGCTTCAATTAAGACGGATATAATTATATAAATAGAAAACACAGTCATCTAGCCAACAAACAACTGTTATATCGTCTTCTATATGTTTCCTATCAATCCCAGAAACTATAAACATACGGTTTGCCAAAGTGCTAAAGTACAAAGTAACGAAGAGAAGTTCAAGTTTCAGTAACCGTTCGTGCCTGCTGTCTATGGGTCAAAGTAAAACCAAATATGTAACATCACCCGAATAACCATGGGCTAGGCTATAAGTTTGATAGTGTAAGTCATCGACAGGCACCTACAGGGTTTTCTCTTCACCCATAGCCCAGAATTTGGGGTATTTAACGAACAGTTAAACCTGATTTTTATTCTGTCTGTGCACGGTTCGTTCGTACATCACTGCTCACGTGTACAGGGGGTTAGGGTAGAACGCAGTTGCGATGTGAAGGAGTCTAACCACCATGGGATATAACGTAACACTTACCATGACTGCAGACGTAGCTATGTGAGATGTCCGTTTGGTCAGGGGCAGTGAAACTGGGCTAAGCCAACAAAAATGACCTTCGCAAAGTCCGCCATGACGAAACTAGCCAGCAGGCACTAAGCGGACCGGTTTTTCTAGCATTTTTCTACTGACAGTCAGCGACATGCTTTAGGGCACATACATTTGTACATGCATGGTTTCTCCGTCACAAAATGGACACCAACAACTCATCGATATTCCGTTTGAGGTTAAAATTTAGGGTTTGCGGATTCTTCACATTTCTCAAAGGTACTCTTAAATGTTGTACCGAGTCATTATAGACGTATTTCTAGAGGCATTTATCGCAATAAATATAATGTTTGTATAAGTTGTCACTTAATTAATAGAAAATGTTCTGTCGCAATGTAAAAGATAAATGGGCCAAACAAAGATCATTTATTGGAAAATTACTAAGGTGTGTTTCCCTCCTGAGTTGATCAGTGATGAGGATCATGAGAAAATTTGAGAATTTCGAAGTTGCACGATGAAGGCTATAATCACATCAACGTAGTTTTCAGGCCTGTATGTGTGATGCCTGTTGATTGGCCTGTTGTTAATCTCATGTTAACTTGATTATCGATCGAATTCAAATTTTGCTCATGATTCACAGGTGGCACCTACAGGTGCGTGAAACAGGCCTTTAATTTCCAAGATGGCGAGTGTGCATGCATGGAAGGGAAGAACGAGCTGGGTAAAAATTCCGCCCAGGAAGACGCGCCACGCCCGTTTTGGTGGTAAGTTGTACCTAAATTGTCATACATATTCTATGGACTATTGTAGATAAAACTTCGTTAAGTTGAATGAAGCAAAAAGATAGAATTTTGAAAATAAGTTGTGGCAACTGTCCCCCACGAGTTAACGCTGCACTATGTTAAGCAACCACTGGGGGCGCATTTGTGTCGTCCAGATAGAGAATGTCTGAATGTATCTTAAATACGGAGGATGAAAAGAGATGAAAAGACAGTTAGAACCATAGCCACCAATTCTTTGAACATGGGTCAATCAACTATTCAATGATGGTGACACCAATATCTTAAGAGGTGTACTCTGTAAACAAACCGCTAAAGGGCGCTCTTAGAGTATGCACACACATGATGTGACCCTAACCTCAATAGCTTTGCATGACTCGACTTGAACGCGGTTTGTTGTTGTTGTCCTGTGTGTTTTGGTCAAATTCTATGCGTTTCAATGTTAACCAAAGTGTTCCGAAGCCAAGAGCAGACAGAAGTGACACGATAGTGCCGTTTGTGAAGAGGTTACATGGACATGGTGATAGATTTGGAAGGAGGAGGGGAGACAGACGACCGGTAAGTCGAGGGTGGTGGTGGTAACAGAGTTGTTTATGTAGATATCCAGGGTAACGTTGATGAGTGGTACCATGATTTTGTCGATAGAAAGACACCAAGAATCCACGATTACCGACACGCGACCGAAAGCGCTCCGATCATAATCGGAAAGGCTACCGAGCGTTCCCGACGGCCGCACCGGACATTCACGACTCGACTATATACAAGATGGCCGCCCGGATTGTCCACTAGCGTTGTTTCAGTGGTTGTCGGTCGCGCTGTGGAATATTTAGGCTGATCTGAACATCGGCAACCCGGCCAATTATGCTTTTATACTGTAGGGAAGGTCGGGACAGCAAAAAACCGGGCCGAAAACGGAGCATCATATAAATGCATTTCATATGACGATATGTTGTTGGCTATGATGTTTTTGTGACCTACTAGTACTAATATGCTAGTAATTTAATGAATGTCAACATAAGATGCATGTTGTTCTTTTATTTGGATTATGATACCTTATGTGAAATCTTGTGTAAAATGTATCTTTCATGTGATTGTTGGTTGTTCAGTACTCAGTAGTCTATATTTACAGTGAGTAACAGCTGTTTTATGTACTCATGTTCTATGTGTTCTTCACCCAACCAAAGCAGATTTTAGAACATATGTGAATCATGATACGTATACCTTATGTGATATCATGTGTGACTGAGATGTCTTTTCATGTGATTGTTGTTTGGTTATGATCTACATGTATGTTCACTGGTTGTTGTGCTCTTCTTTTGACTAACAGTGTTCCCTGTGCTCTTCCCCCAACCAAAGCAGGACTGTTTTATAACATTTATAACAAATGTTGTAAATATTATGATGTCGTGCATGTTATGTGAATATTGTAAACACTGGTGTACTTGGCATACTATCTTGTGCATTATAAATTTGGCATGAAATTTTTCTTAATGTTTATTTCTCTTACACCCTAGCTTATGGAAAGCTGGGATTGTACCTGACCATGTTCCTGTCTGTGTGCTGTGGGACCTGTCTGTGTTCCTGTCCATATTCCTGGAGGATCTATCAGCTATCCTGTGTACCTGTGTGTCTTCCTGATGGACCTGTCACCAATCCACGAGACAAGAGAACATCGGACCTTGACTGTGAGTTGGCTTTTATTTTTAGAACTCTTTCAAAAAGGGGTACCGGTCTGCATGCCGCAATGTCTAAGCGCTTGTATTAGATTTGCATGATGTGAAGTCAGGTTATTATGACTTTATGTTGAGTGCATGAATGAAGTGTAATGCCGGGTCACTGCTTTGCATACTTTTGTGCCTTGCAATTTGAATTTTGAAGAATTCGAAGTAAAATGAGTTTATGTTAAGCATCCAGTGACTGCACGAAATGGAGAATTATAAATCGTGGCCCGCTGCCTTTCGAATTAGTGCGAAGAGTGATCGGGACCTCCCATGCAGACCCCTAAAAATGACAATGAAATATGTTAGAATAGGACATCGCAGTATTGATCATCTGAATTTTTCATTCCAAACACCTGATTAAGTTCAAACCAGCTCTCTCTACTATTCATTGTCATTTTTTATTGAAAGAGTTCGCATTTCTTTACTAATATCTAGTTTAAGGTTGTGACTTATATTAGTTTGCATTTATGGTGTAGAACACAGTTCTACTTCTAGTACATTTTCCTAGTAAGGAAAGCACTTCAGGTACTGTCTGTTGTTTCATTCTGTATAGAAATGGGATACGTTTTCAAAAGCATTTGTGATCAAATTCTTTTCCCTGAAATGAAATGCTTTGGTCACATAATGATTGTTAGAAATATGTCTTTACAGAAGAGGGAAAAGGCAATGTTGTGCTTTCCTTCTGTAGTGTGAAATGTACTACAGTACTGTAAAGCTGTGTGTGATGTTTGAAAGGGAGGAATTGAGTTATGGAATCAGCGAAACAAAAAATCTTAAAGTTTTCTTTTCGTGAGCATGACAATTTATGCGTTGGTGAAGGTAATAAGACATGCCAAAAACACTCAACATTTTGGAAACGGTCAGAAGTTTCAGGTAACATCCACTGCCTTTCGTCAGTAACTCTAAGAGAGCGCAGGAGAAATGCAGGTTTATAATAATTTCTTTATTTGCAAAATTGTGCCTGAATGCCTTTTAGATTACAGTCAAAGATACTATCCGGTACAATAATAGGAGACAGACAAGTAATGTCAGGAAAAACGTATACTTCTACTACTACGCTTGCTATTATGAGGTTTGACTTCTTTGAAGGCAGTGGATAATGAATAGTCGCACATTCTGCATAATGAGTGGGTTTTGTGATCTTAGTAGAAACATATTAGTCTTTTGGTGATCTTCTAAATGATGAAAGGATGGAGAAATTGTAGCAGTAACTGTCTGAAATAATCTGTTTCTGTCAGTTTCATAGTGAGAACACTGGCTAACAAAATGTGTAAGGGAAAACAATTTTTGGAAGTCAGTAACATTCTGGTTATTAGATTTCTAGACAGTGTAATTAAACAGTACATTAATTAATAAAAATGTAGATAGAAGCACGATATTTGTAAACACGTCTAAACAGCTGTAGTGAGAGGTGAACACAATTAGGATTACTAGCCAGCATTTCACGGAAGTTTACGTTGTATAGCTAATAGGTATTGTGGACAGTCAACTTTTTGCAACCACATATTAGTTTAAAAGGTACTGTAAACAGTTTCAGTGTGACACAGGTAGCATTTAAGGGTAGTTGTAAAAGAAATAATCGTTAAAATCTAGATGTAAATATAGCTTTTGAGGGAATAATCTGAGGAAATACAATAATGTAGTTTTGTTTCGCTGATTTCTTTTAAGTCATGTAGAACCCAGACTTTGTTATAATTGTTGATAGACTGGTAGCAACACTACTACCTCCTGTTGGAAAATTCAGGGCTTGTCTCATGTTGATCTAGTAGAGTTTGACAGTGATGTTTTGCACTAACAGACTTTATTTGATGAGCTTGAGAGTAGGTCTGGGTTTTGGAGCATGAGGTTTGAATTGTTACAAGTATGTTAACAGTGATAACAGAGTTTGATTAAGAGTTTGTATCACTGCATGACAAAACACAATTCCTCTCTTTCCATTCTTCCAATTCTAATGTCCTTGGGCTTAGCCTGGAGGAGGAACGTCTGTCCCAGGGTTCAAACTTATACATGTCTCGTCTCTGTGTAGTAGACTTGTTGACGAACAACTTTGTCCGTTATCAGGCCTACTACGCTTAAACGGAAAGGGGGATTTGTGGATTTTTGTTACCCTGGCCCAGAGGTTTTCTCCTCCAGGCTTAGACGCTAGGTTTTGTTGGTTGATGTATATAGGCCTGTTGTTTAAGTTCACTCACTTTTCCAAAACTTTGGACCCTTACACTTAACTTTGCCAACACTTGCTGAAAATTCCCACCAAAAAAACTTGGGACCTTCACTTAGTTAATTGTCACTTTGGACCTCAACACTTGGTTGATGAATTGTGTAAAAAAATTTTCTGTTGAAATCCTGCCTGCCAAAAACACATAATTGGGACCCGCAAGTTACTTGTATAAAAAAAAAATGTCTCCAGTAAAACGAGTCCTTGGTCCCACATTGCACTTTTAGTCATTTGAGATACAGCATGTCACACTTTCTGCACTGTGCTTTGGACCTTTACAGGCAGCATTTAGCTCCATTCTTACTGACATAAACTTGCATGTTGCGTGACATAATATCTTGCATTTTTAAGTAAGGCCAATACAGTGACTTTTGTTT